TAAGTGACTCAGGCTGGCCCCAAACTTGTGATCCTCCTGCTTCAGCCTAAGACTGACTGGGATTATAGGCCTGCATCACCATACCAGCCCCACCCTTGCTCTTCCCAAGACACACACAAGCCCAGCTAGAGTAAGTGGGACAACATACTTTCTCCTTTCAAATCTGACTTGGAGGGCCAAGGATATGGCTCAGTAGTAGAGTTTGCCTAGCAAGGATGAGGCCCTGAATTCAGTCCCCAGCAACCCCCCCAAAAAATTGGACATGAAGGTTCAGAGATAACAAATCCACTGGGTGAGCCTATTTGAAAATGTAGACTTGGAAGACTTTAAAATAACAGAACTACAATTTTCTCCAGAAAGGTTTTGCTAAGTGCCAATGTATTTTTTCACTGGGCACAGGTGCCAGTAATGCTAACATCACATCAGCCAGAAGGAACTCTCCATTTTGCAAGAGCATATGCCAGAATAATGTCATTGACTATGCTTTAGGGAGGGGTTTGTATTTCCTTTTGAGCATATATTTTAATTACAAAGCTGAACTGGTAATGGTTAGAACACAGCCATTTAAAATTTAGATACAGACATGACACATCAGGGGGATGCAAATACAGACAACTCTGCCCTATAAATAGGACCTAGAACAATCCTTTGCAAAACAAACATCTTCACAGGGGAGAAGTAAACTCAGAACAGAACAGTAGGCTGCTATTAAAATTGGCATTTACAAAGTATGCAATAATACAGGAAAAATGTGGTACTAAGTGAAAGAAAGCAGTACACAAATACGTGTGTGTGTGTGTGTGTGTACAGAAGAGACACACAATGCATACAAACACAAGTTTTACATCAAACACCAGGCCATCTGTGTAATGCATGCGTGCCTGTGACAGAACAGACTCCTCATCTCGCCTTGGCACCAGGGAAGTTTAAACAATGGGCCCCGAACTACATTTCTAGAAGTTAATGACCACTATTAAGTATTCTGACCCACTGAAATCTATTTCTCCCACCCTTTGCTCCTGAAAGAAGGCCGGAGATAACAATCATCACAAAAACAAGTTGGGCAGCAGTACATGGCCAAGACTCGTAGCACATTCACACACCTGCCTATAATGTTGCAGGTCAGCAGCCCCATAACTACATAGGCCTCTGTAGATCAGAGAGGCCAGATTTTATTTCCTTTGTCCAATTAAAAACATTTTAAGGGAGAAGGGCAATTGATGTCTTTAGAACAGGCTGTCTGCAAAATTATTCTTTCTAGCATTTCCTTAAGCAGATTAATCTGACTCTTCAACTACGTTTCTCTGTGAGAAAAGTCGGCATTTATGAAGCCTTTCAGGAAGCTGACGCCTTCAGCACAAAAGAGCCATGGTTTGACCTAAGCCCAGCCCTTTATTCTCTTACAAGAGAATGATAAAAACAAGCAGACATTTCCAATGTCAACAGCCTTCTCCACAGAGCTAGAAAAGAGTAGGTAGGCAAGAAGGCAAAGGAAATGAGGGGAGATGGGCTGGCCGCAGGCTTCTTTGTAGCAACTGCGCTGGCTTTAACTGGATAACAAATTGTCCTGGAATTCTTGGCATCAGAGCAAACATGTCGGCTCCCTGGTTACGCCTTCGTCACTGCTGAAAAGTACCACACACTTTAACCTTCCTGCTCTTTCCATAGGCCTGGGTTTGTCCCATCTCCAGGAAACTTTATATGTTGTCTAAACTGAGCATCCCAGCAGGCTGCAAGGCAGACAGCAACTCAAGATTCAGAATGCTGACCAATTCCTATCTGGATCCACACCATGCTGAAACTCAGCCTGCCTGTGTAGAAATCAGAGCCTGGCCACATGACTAACAGCTTTTTTAACTGCCACTCTCAGCAATGAGGAAGTTCCCCAGCAGACAAGATAACTCTGAGATGGCTTTCTTCAAGGGAACTGAAAAGAAAAATGACATCAGGATCTAACAGGATCCCAGGTTCAACCAGATACTCAAAATAAGCAAATGCCCACAGCTCAACTAAGCCAGGAGGGGTTGCTGACCTACCCTTGAGTCATTAGGGCTGCAAGTCACTAGCCTAGGACATTATGCAGAGGTCTACCTCCATGTCACTAGGTTCACATAAGAGGCTTCACACTTCAGTAAGGAGGCAGATACAAGCTTGAGGTAGCACCTGAACTACATCATTCAGATACATCACAAGTTGAAAAAAGGTAGAGAATAGAGTATAACACTATTTGCATATAGTAATAAAAGCAGAGGAGGTAGGAACACGTATATATAGAAACTGCAAGAGAACACAAGGATATGACAACTATCTCTGGGAACGGCAATTGAACAACTGGGAGAAAAGGCTTTGGCTTCTTCTTCTTACCTATAGATGGACAGTATGCCTTTATTTTGTTTATTTTTATGTGGTGCTAAGGATAGAATCCAATGCCTCACACATCCAGGCAAGTGCTCTGCCACTGAGCTACAGCCTCAGGCCCTGCTTTATATCTTCTAAATTTTCAATCATGTGAATGTACAGAACCTTTCCAAGAACCAATTTTTAAAACATTTTAATGCAGAAGGCTATAATTCTCCCCACCCCAACCCTCCTGGAGAGTAACTCCAAGAGTATTCAATCACTGAGCTCCATCCCCAGCCGTTTTTTTCGAGACAGGGTCTTGCTAACTTGCCCAGGCTGAACTCAAACTTGTGATCATTCTGCCTCAGCTTCCAGAGTTGCTGGAGTTATGGGTGTACATATACCTAGCTATAATCTTATTTTTCTCAAGGCAGGGGAAATTCTCTATAAATGTGTGTGCATGTAAACATTCTTGAATACAGAACTGTGAACAAGGGGTTACTTCCAGAGGATGGGAGTAGGTGAAGAAAGGAGACTTGCAGGTTTTATTTTATGTCTACTGGTGTGTTTCCAAGAGGCAGTACTACTTTTTTTTTTTAATTTTTTTTTTTTAAAGAGAGAGAGAGAGAGAATTTTAATATTTATTTATTTATCGGCGGACACAACATCCTTATTTGTATGTGGTGCTGAGGATCGAACCCGGGCCGCACGCATGCCAGGCGAGCGCGCTACCGCTTGAGCCACATCCCCAGCCCAGCAGTACTACTTTTGTAATATTTATTTTAAAAAAAAGAAAACCAAGCTGGTTGTGGTGGTGCACTCCTGTAATCCCAGCGACTCAGGAGGCTGAGGCAGGAGGATTGCAAGCCTCAGCAAAAGCGAGGTGCTAATCAACTCAGTGATACCCTGTCTCTAAATAAAATACAGAATAGGGTTGGGGATGTGACTCAGTGGTCGAGTGCCCCTGAGTTCAATCCCTGGTACCAAAAAAGAGAAAACATTTTATGAAACACAACCTTGCTTCCAATGAGACTCCCTTAGCTCCCACATCACTCAGTTACTGAAGCACATGCCATCTGTGTTACAAGTACCTGTCCAGGTCTCCTTTCTATTAAAACATTGGAGCAATTGTAGTCTGTCCACCCCTCTGGCTCTACATAGTTACCACTCTGATGTGACTGTGCAGAGGAGATAATATAGAATGAAGCAAATGGGGTGGAAGGATCCCTTAAGTTAATCATTCTCAATAACACTTTTCCCAAAACTCTCAATTGAGGGCTGGATTTATTGTTACACCTGAAACAATCAAAATCAAAAAATGATTTTATATGAATAAAATATCAGATGGAAATACATGAATGACAGTGAATGGTTACAGGAGAACTGCAATTACAAGTAGAGAAAAAAAGTCAGGGTAGGATGGAACAGAAACAGGATCAAGAGATGGTTTCTCAAGTGAAGAAACGACAGAGGTGCCAGGAAAAAAGAAAGCTCTGAGAATCCCCACCACCCCACCCCCCCCGCCGCCCCCAAATAAAGGACTGAGGTAGAACCAGATTTCTCACAGTTCAAGGGATGGAGGAGCTGCGTTTGGGCTGATACCTGCATGCTCTCCTTAACTCCCTTCTCATTCTCCACATCCAGTCTGTTAGCAAAACTCAGCAGTTACAACCTCAAAATGCATCCAAGATCCAACCATTTCTGAAGAGCTTTCTACTGTCATGTGTAACTCATTAGAATAAAAAAAAAAAAAAGAAGAATCCAACCATTTCTTACCATCTTCACCGCTATCACCAGCTCTCACTCTCTCAGTTACAACCTCCCATGCTCCCCTCGCCACCCCAGTTCATTCTCACATAGCAGAATGGGAACACCTCTCACCAGACAAAAGGGCCCAGTTATTCCCTTACTCTCTCCCTCCCATTTAAAATGTAAGCTCCATGTAGGCAAGATCTTTGTTTTTGCTCATTGCTGTATTCAATGCCATGGTATATAGCACCCAATATTTGTTAAATGGACTAAGTAGTCATGCAACTGTATACTGCATACTTCTAGGAAATGAATCCAGGAATTGCATTTTGTACCAGTTTGTGGATATTCAGGTGGATGAGAGACCTGCAAATCACACTGTGAAAAACACTCTTGTTCAGTCACCCACTGCTGAATCTACAATGGCCTGCACAATAGGTTTACAAAAGTTCACTGAGAGAATAAAATGATGAATATAAAATAGGGCTAATATCACAAAGTGCTGAGGAACTGGTCTACACAGAACACTAATGTTTCTATATCTAATGGTGTGGAAGATAACTGACAGAGTAGATGCTCAAAAATAAATGAAATCTAAAAGAAAATGTATTATTTAACACAGACCCAAGCCACCTCTGTGAAAGCCACAAAAAAACATGGAAATGGAGAGATAGGGCTGGGTATGTGGCTCAGCGGTAGAGGAGGGCCTAACATGTGTGAGGCCCTGGGTTCTATCCCCAGCAGCGCGTACACACACAGAGAGTTCAAGGAACTGACATCTCTATTATAATAGTTTGTGAACAATAGTAACTCATATGTAATATAATTGCTCTCTTAGAGAGATTTTATACAAGTAACATTTTGGAGACACTAAGAAAGAAGGACCCTCCTTATCTGAGAAGGCCAAATGGTTAACAAAAAATTTCTAAAAGATTTTACTTGAGCTAAGTTTTAAAAGGAGGAATTTATAAGAGGAGAAGCAGCTCATTGAGGGAAAAAGGCACAGACTATGCAAAGGCATAACACACATGACTGGGTGATTACTGGGAGGGAGGTAGTAAAATGTGGAGGATATTCTGACATTAAGATAGAAAAAAGTTACAAAGCATTTTCCTTTAAGGACAGAGTCTATGTTCTTAAAAGTTCCTGGACCCACCTCTGCAATTACCCATTCCTCAGTAAGATTTGACCTCTAAAGGGACCTGACAGACTTAACATTAAATAACAAAATCAGGAAGGGTAGAACAAAACAGAATACGCTAGGCTAGGTCTTAAAATGCATGCGGCACCATTCCCTGTTATAATCAGCACTGATGAGAGAGACTGTGCCTATAGCAGCTCTGCTAGAAGCTTGCAAATGGTGCCATGTGGTTCCCTATGAATCCATGTGTTGTTCTACCTGCTCACTGGTGCAGGACTTCTAAACTATAAATTCATTTTCATGCAGAGATGATGAAAAAAAATCTGATATAGATTATTCCTCATTTAAACCATGACTTAAACCCTATCTGAGGATTTAACTACTTTATTTTCTGATTAAAACACACACACACACACACACACACACATATTTATATAAAAAGGAAGGGGATAAAGGGAAATAGAAATTGCACTGTGCTGACACAGACACCTAAAATCCTAGTCAGAGTTAAGTCCAATATTAAAGGTCAACTGATGGTTTAAAGGAAATAACTATAAGGAGTATGATGGAGACACAGATGAACCACGTCTCAGTGTTAGCCTCAAAAATGAATGAGAACAATTCTCAACAAAACTGGAGTCCACCGTTGTCAGGTATGCTCTGCTAGGCATGGGTAGGTAGGTCCATGCCTGGTGTGATATAAGGAGCAGCTCCTGTTGCCAAGCAGCATCTGCAACTCACAGCAGAGTTCAGCAGTGGAATCGAGTGGAGAACTTAGGAGATACAGGCACTGTCAGAGGCTGGTCACTTGACTTTACCTCCACAGCCTGGTACTTGCGTATTGGATTTGCCTTGTGCACCTGCAGAGAAGAGAAAATAAGTTACCACTGAGAGAGATGTCAGAGAACTATGCTCACAGTTGTTTTTATTTTTCCTTTTAGAGAAAATGTTTGTACAGTCCTATAGATCCCAGTCATGAATTTAAAGGCACAGGGGGCAACACAGTAAAATGGAAAAGCGTTATGAGCTTTGGAGCTTCTACAGGTCTTTCTTGGGTTCCCTTGCTTTCACTAACAATGTCAAATACATCTCCAGTATGATCTACAGGGTGTTATGGGGCTATAACTCAACTGCAACAGAAAAAAAGAGTCACAAATTAGAAATTTGCTATAATCTTAGGCTTACTTACTCATATTCACCAAAATGGACCAAAACAAAATACAAAAAGTAAAGAAAAAAACAATAATCAGAAAGGGCACTGTAAAGGACATGGTCCCATCCATTCTTTTGGATATTCTACAATCAATCCTGATTCAAGCCAGATTAGCAGAGAGAGAACTGGCACTAACTGTGTTTAGAATGCAGTCTTCAACCTATTTTGAGAACTGCTGTAAGAAACAGTTCTGTAGTAGGGACAAACATAAGATGCAGGTACCAAGTATTGAAGAAAATCAAAGAAGTTGAGGGTGATTTTATGAGTGCATTGGGACTGAGAACTTGTTTTCTCATTCAATCAGCAAATAGTAATTTGGATGTCCCACGAGGCTATAGTCTCTTGAAGTTGTCCTTAGAGCCTTCCCGTGGGCATAGTCATCTATGGGTATCTATTTCAACCGTTAGACATGCACTTGGTTTGTTTTGGGGATACTGGATGGGGACTGTACCCAGGGCCTCACTCATGCCACAGTAAAGACACTGCAACTAAACTACACCACCAACGCTTTTTAAAAAAATCTTTGAGACAGACTCATTGAGTCGCCCAGGCTGGCCTTGAATTTGCAATCCTCTGCCTTAGCCTCCAGAGTAGCTGGGATTACAGAAATGTACCAATGAGTCTGGCTGACAATGGGATCCTTAAGGTGAATTATGATTTTTTGGTGGGGGAGATAATGAATATCTAAATCATTATGCTAGTGCGATTACCTACACCATGAGGATTACTTAGACCAACAAACACTGTAACTCCAAAAAGTCTGAGCCAAATATTAAGAGGAAAGAAAAATATATAGTTGCTACACAGTTTCCACATCCTTCCCTAAGTATTCTGGTCTGATTGTAAAATGCATTGTTTCTTGTTAAGCACAGAATAATAAAATAAATTAAAAAGTAAACAAAAAAGAATCCTAGGAAATATATCACTGTGTATGACTATATCATATGATGTCTTCTTCATGAAGCTCCCTGGAAGAAATTCTGTCTAATTACTATATGAAGGATAAATGTTTTTGCTTTTTTTTAATAAATATACTTTTTAATATATTCAATATATTCAAGTATGTTGAATATATATTTTTTATAAATATATTTTTGAATATATTTTTATATTTCAAAAAAATTGGTTTTATATTAGTGTCATAACTAACAGGTTGGTTCCTAAAAAGGGCCAAAATTGTGGCTCATATTTAGACTACAATGTATACATCTTTTGCCTCATTCACACCTCAACCTCCTCCCCTCACCCTACGTCTGGATGATTTCTCTTTTTTTTACTTATCTTTGAGATAGCCTTGCAGGCCACTGTAGATCCTGTTTAGAACAAGGTGAGGTAAGGTAAAACAAAACAGAGACAACCTTGGGTTAGTCAGTACTCATGCCCAGTTACCAATTCTTTCCGTAGCCTGGCCAGCTCCTCCTTCCTCTGCTCTTCTTCCTGTTGCCTGGCCTCCTCCAGCTGCTGGATTTTCTGGGCTTCTACCTCAGCCATTCTCTTTTCCAGCTCCTGACGCTCCTTGGCTCTCTTCTCAGTGGCCAGCTGAAAAGGTTCCTGAACTAGAGAACCAGAAAGGCCCTCTGAGTACAGAAACAGAAAGAATATTGGTGCATAAGAAGTATTTGCATGAACCCAGCTCCCCAGGATTGAGCCAAGTAGCAGAGACTCTAAGGAAGCCCTGCTAAAAGAAAGGCAGAGTAAACCACTTATATAAAAGTCTTAGAATTTTAAGAGTTGTAAGAGCCCCTGGAAATCATCTAGTGTAAATGGAATAAAAACAAGACCCACAAGGGTGAAGTAAGCTCAAAACTATATAGTGCTTTTAAGATGGTGGTAGAAGAATCCCAATTTTCTAACACACCACCTAGTGCTTAAGAAATCAAATATTCTGTACCTAAGGCTTGGCTTCACCTAGAACTCCAGAAGGACACCCTAGACTTCCTCTCTCATTTACTTGCTACTCTTTGGTACAGAGGGCCTGTAACTTACTAAAAGGCCAGCGGTTTCTAACAAGGCTCATGTTATACCAATCTGTCCCCAGCACATTCTGAAACTCAACAAGGTACTAGATTCAATAGAGGCAAAAGACTGGGTCTAAGGGAAGAAAAACCACCATCCTCTAAAACCCAACACTCTGGGTGAACCAAGTATTGTCTGATACAACTGAGTCCCACTTCCCCCAGGAAATCTTATAATTCTGCCCCAAACCCCCAAAATATCATAGAACACTACCAGCAACTGATTTTTTCTCTTTCTTGGGAACAAAGGGCTCCTGGGAGGTGATGGTATTTGGACGAGCCTTGAAGCAAGCTGCTTCTTTCTGTTGTTTCAGTTCTTCCTCCAGCTATTAGGAATAAAGACTGTCAGACAGGCAAGTGCACAACTTCCATGACCAACACATTAACTCAAGATCTAGTGTTTCTGAACTGCTTTGGCATTCCAGATAGAAGATGATGTGATCTAACCTCTAGTTTTCTTCTCCCACCACCCAGAATCTAGAGTCCACTCAGAGAACTAGAAAATATCTTTAAGATATTTTTAAGGCCTATTTTAACATCACAAAAACTCTAAAAAACTAGATATTATATGCCTTCCGATGTGATTCATTAGATACCATGCAATAGCACTATAAAACATTCTCCTGGTCTGGGGATGTGACTCAGCAGTAAAGCACATGCCTGGTATATATGTGCAAAGCCCCGATTCAATCCCCAGCACCACACACACACACACACACAAAAAAAAAAAAAAAAAAACACACCACCAAAAAACAAACAAACCCTAACCAGAATTAATCAAGCCTCTAGATCTATAGGAAACAGAGGAATACTTTAAATGCAATATATGAGCAAAATCCAGATTGTGGAAAAATCTACACAATCTAGTTCACTCAACAAATAAAATACAAAGAGACAAGTTCACCGATTGAGACTTAGAGATTTACCAAACAAGGGCTGGAGATGTGGCTCAAGGGGTAGCGTGCTCGCCTAGCATGCACGGGGCACTGGGTTCGATCCTCAGCACCACATAAAAATAAAATAAAGATGTGTCCACCGAAAAACTAAAAAATAAATACTAAAAAAATTCTCTCTCTTTAAAAAAAAAAAAGGGAGATTTATCAAACAAATACGTAATGTGGACCTTATTTTGATCTTGATTTGAACAAGTCAACTGTTTCAATTATGAAAAATTTAAGGATATTTGATTACTGACTATTTGTCTCTATATAGGAATCACTGTTAATCTTTTTTGATATTATTGTGTTTGTTTTAAGTAAGTCTTTATTTTTTTGTGTGATGCTGAATATCAAATCCAGAGGTTTGCACATGTTAGGCAAATACCCTATACAAATAAAGTCACACCCTTAACCCAGTCTTTATATTTTAAATATAAGCTCAAGTATTTTTGATGAATAGAGATTCAGTTCAAAGTAATGTCGTGTAGGTAACGTATACAATGGAGGAGTAAATGGTAGAAGTACAGGTGAAATAAGATTTTCCATGTTTTAATCATTACAGAAGGTGTTAGGTTCATGAAAGTTTATTATATCATTATCACTTTACTTTTGTTAAGTATTTGAGAAACTTAAAAAAAAAAAATGATAGAAAATGCCCCACAAGACATCCTATGTCTTGGTCCTTAAGAAAGGGAGAGTTACTACTATTGCCAAAGCAGCAGTCCTTAGGTTTTCTACAAAACAATGCCAAAAGGTGGCCTGCACTCAGTCACAGAGCAATCAGATCTCCTGGGCTTCAAGAGGAGTGATTCCTACAAATAATGACTAGCCTAGAGCTCCTTTGGGGCAGAGTCCAGGATAAGTGATGGCATAAAAATACGAACGAACACAAAAATTTTTAAAAATGTTTTTCAACTGGGTAGAAATACATCCCAATTAAACAAGCCAATAACCAATCAATTGCTTTTAATTATTTTGTTATCTATAAAGAGCAAGTTTATCACACACCATGCTGAGAAAATAGCATATCATATTGAGAACTTTTTCTTGCATCCTGTTTCTTACCAAAGCAGTCAATAGAACAGAGTGAATACTTAATGAATGAGTCTAACAGATGGAGCTCTCAGACTCCTGACTCAAAAGAAGCCTGAGTTCTCACATTCCCAAGATGATCACTTAAAGCAGGGGTCAGAAAACTTCAGCCTAAAGGCCAAATCCAGCTTGCAAATGGTTTTGATCCAGCCCTTGAGCTAAGAATGTTTTTTACATTTTTCAAAGGATTGAAAACACAGGCACACAGTATGTGGTAGAGGCTCTTCTAACCCATAAAACCTAAAATAATTTCTATCTGGTCCTTTACAGAAAACGTGCTGAACCTTGATTTAGACAGAGTACACAGAAATAATCAAGTATGTTTTCCCAGATGATTTTCAGTATAGTTGGTCTGCCAGTCAAACCAACCAAACAGCCAACCAACCACCCATCAACCAACCAACATTTTGGCTGCTCTCCCCAGGCTCCCACCTGGTGCTTCCATATCTGTGCCTTAAGAGCACCTCTTTTGTCAGTCTCCAAGCAGAAAGGCTCAATCTGGGTCACGTTCTTCACCTTCTTTTCTGGCAGGCTAACGGTGTCAAAATGAGGCACAGGAAGTGCCTTAAACTTGGGCACCTAATGCAAAAGAAAACATAAAATTTAAGATGAAGACCTCTTCGGTTAGAAGGCAAGAGCTCCTCCAAAATATGTGGAAGAACCTGAAAAGTTTGGATGGAAAGCCAGTTTTCTAAACAGCACATGGTCTTTCAGAGAAGAGTAATGAACCCAAAAGGAAATCTAGGTTTTCCTCCCAATATTGCCAATAACTGGCAGTATGCTCCCAATAACTAGGAGGAAGTCATTTAACCTCCTTCTGCCAAAAGAAGTACTTAAGGGGCTGGGACTGTGGCTCAGTGGTAGAGCGCTCGCCTAGCATGGGCAGGACCTGGGTTCGATCCTCAGCACCACATAAAAATAAAGGCATTATGTTATGTCCATCTACACCAAGAAATTAAAAAAAAAAAAAAAAAGGATTACTTAAAATCATTTGCCCTGTTTTATTTCATAAAATTCTTAAGAGGGATCAAAGGAAAGTAGTGATTTTACAGTTAAAAGTACTACATAAGAGGTTATATTTGAGGGCTCAAAGAAAAGCAGTATCCTACTTGCAGAAAAGGAAACACCTACCTCCCCTTTCTGCAGTTCTTTTATTTTCTTCTCCTTCTGCAACTGTCGTTCTTTGTCCCGAGAATCAAAGGAGAAAGGGCACATTTCCACAGTTCTTGCCTCTGGGATTTGGGGCTTAAAAGGCACCCCATAATGTGGCACAGGTTGAGCTCTTATCACTGCCTGTTCATCCTCTTCCTAAGAGAAACTGCAGTTTAGAAACAAGACTCCTCATTCTCTCCTACCTCCTCAGCATGCAGTCAGAAGATACTATAGGGGTAAGCCATTAATGAAGGCAAGTCCCTCAACCTTAGATGTTTTAGCTTCCTATTTCTTTCCTTTCCTGTCTTTCTTTTTTTTAAATCTGAAGTTTTTCACAGGAATGTTATAAAAATTAAATGAGGTCAGACAGTATGAATAAAATGAAGATAAGAAATACATTAACCAGGTATATACCTTAGCCTCTTCTTTGACCCAGCCTCCAGACTCCAATAAAACATGTGACTGGAGTTAATGTGACTGGGTTGCCAAACCCAGAATAGGACCAGTAAGTTGTTTGGGTTCAAGCTGGTAACATAAGATAACTGTGTATTTTAGTTTCAAATGAACTATAAAAAGGCTTATGCTTGAGATCTGCTATAAAATTACCCTAACTCTGGATATTTATAGATAAATGGGAGATGTAATAAGATACTAGTATGATCAATGACAGTTTATATATTACAATTTCATGAAACATCACTAAACAGTCACCTTTGTGACCCTTGGGTTAACAGAGATAGGACGAGGTGGATGTAACTGCAAGGCCAATGTGACTATTTAGTATGAATTTAAAAGTCCCTCACTGAATAATGACTATAACTCAGGCAAATAAAATGCAGAGGTTGGCAATTTTTGATCCACTTTACAAAGACTGACTGACTTCAAAACTATAGAAGCAGACAAGCCTCCAATACCTAATTCTTCCCCACAGTTTCCATAAACTGTAACCTATTATCAGTGACAGTCAGAAGATTCATACATTACCAACTACTTTACTCTTGGATGAGCAAAAAAGATGATCAAATGTTAATACCATATTTAAAGATAACTTCAGACAAAAGTGGTTGTGTTATATGTCTTTTAGAATTAAGAAATGGTAAGGCTTAGGGGCTGAGGTTGTGGTAGAGCACTTGCCTTGCATGTGTGAGGCACTGGGTTTGATCCTCAGTACCTCATAAATAAATAAAATAAAGATCTATTAAAAAAAAAGGTAAGGCTTAGATTGACTATGCAGAAGGAAAAAGAATCCCCCTACTCCCAGGGAATTACCTCTTCCTCTTTGGTGGGTATTCGAATTCTGTTTTTCAATGCAAAAGCTGGTGACTTGGGGACAGTGATTGGAAGTACCTTCTTTTCAGGAACACCCTGGAAGGAACACATAACTCAGTTAAACATCCTGCAACAACCTCCACTATGAAAGATTAAATCACTTTCTTAAAGAGAAGTTTATGTATCATGACAACAGATCTCTGCTCCTAGAACCTGTAGAAGTAAACACCGCCCCCAAAATCCACAGATGCTCAAATCCCATATAAAAATGGTGTATATTTGCATAAAACTTATACTTTCCTGTACTGTTTTTCTCTAGTTACTTATAATACCTAATATAATGTAAATGCTACGGAAAGTTGTTAGTCTGAATTGTTTAGGGAATAATGACAAGAAAACAAGTCTGTACATGTTTAGTACAAATGTAATTTCCCCCCCAATATTTTCCAACCACATTTGGTTGAATCTGCATAGGAACAAGGAGAGATGACTATATCTACAAAACTTCACTGCACTTATTTGTTTAGATGTTCATCCGCCTCAGCTAGACTATAAGTGCTTTCAAAGGTAAGGACTATTTTATTCCATCAACCCCTAGCATCTAACACAGACCTTGGCAAGGATAAGGCATTCAGTAAATATTTGTTGAATGAATGCATGAGAATTTGTATGTTGGACTCTATGAAGATACCTTGGGAGACTTCTCCTTAATCCCAACAATGCTGCACCTGCTCAAAACATGTTTGGAATGTCTTTCTTGGAGTGGTTTTGAAAGCCACTTTTTGGACCATGCCAGACACTTAATTGCTCAATCTTTTATCTTTCATTTAACAAAATTATTTCTGCCTCTATTATCTTGGGCTACTCAGAGGTTTTTATTTAAAAAAAAAAAAAAAAAAAAAATCTTTCTTATAGTTCTAAACACCTTTAGATTAGAACAGATTTATAAACCCTCTAGGTGACCACTGTGAAGGAATGCTCACTCTGTGAAGGAATACTCACTCTGCTATGAAATTTCTTATGTTTTCTAAAGAGTGCTATCACTAGCATAGTGAAATCCAGTTCAGCAGTCTTGTAATGAGAGTGGCAAGAATCCAAGAAATAATTTACATACAACAAAACCTGCTGTTACAATATCCAGCATAGGTGGACATGAGCACATCTTGACTGAATGCACCAATGGCATGTGGAAGTAGAAAGAACAATGAGCCAGGCCCAGTTCTGCTTCCAGCCTATAAAACCAGGCACATCAGATAGCCTTCTAGGCCTGGAGAGGAGCAGGGCGAGGGGGTTCATAAAATAATTTAACTGAAATAAATATCCAAGGACTCCTTTAGTTCTAAAATAATCCCCCCTTTCCTGTTTCCTCCCTCTAATCCAACCAGTAGAGATCTACATTTTAAAAGAGGAGCAATGGAAATCTCTAATAGGTAGGCCATGACAGAGACATTATGAGTGAGATCAATCCTCACTAGTTGAGGGGAGGACATGGCTAAGAAAATCATCTTTGTAGCAACTATCCACCCACACCCCTTCTCTACTACAATAAAAACCAACTGGAGACTTGATTTGAAATAAAAGGAAATCAGACTTCCAGAAAAAAATGAAGATTTCTTGTTATTTTAAGTTTAAATCATAAGCTCCTTGAGGACTAGGATATTGCCATTTCCATTCCTTTGCACTTACAAGAAGACCTGGTAGTAACTGAACATATGTTGATTACTATTACTCTACGTATTTGTTTACATGTTAGTCCACTCTACCAGTCTGCACAAGCTTTAAGAACAAGAAGGTCATGTCTTGGAATTCCCAGTATCTATGTCAGCTTGTACTGTACATATCTGGTTATCCTGTATTTGTAGGAGTTACTGATGGTCCTTGTTCTCAAGGGTTTCACACTTTAATGGAAAAAACACAATCAATAAGTAATAAATTAGCCAGGCTGGGTGACAGACATCTGTAATCCCAGCAACTTGGGTGGCTGAGGTAGGACGATCCCAAGTTCAAAGCCAGCCTCAGTAATTTAGCAAGGCCCTAAGCAATTTAGTGAGACCCTGTCTCAAAATAAAAAAGTAAAAAACAAAAAAACGACTGGAACTTGGCTCAGTGGTTATGCGCCCCTTGGTTAAATCCCCAATACCAAAAAAACAAAAAAGTCATAAAGTGAATATTTTCTAATTTTCACAAATGTTCTAAAGAAACCCAGCAGAATGTGGGGCTAAAGGCTACTAGGGGAACACACTCCCTCAATGGGAAGTTTGGGGAAGGTATCTCTTAAGAGGTGATGTGAGGTTAGAAGTGGGCAATGTAGGTGGACAGATGACACATTTAGGAAAAACAGCAAGGAAGGAGTTGGGGATGAACACTTGAAATGCAGGAAATGCCCCCAATTGCCCTGGAATAAGCTCTCAAGCCTGTCCCAAAGCAGTTAGGAAATTACTACAAAGCAACGTTATCCCAAGGAGTACACAAAGAAAGAAAGAAAAAACAAACAAACAAACAAAAAAACCCTGCTAGTCTCCCTAAGTCATCCCTTAAATATCTCTGCTAAAATTACTCACTGGCCTCACTGATACCACATGTACCTCAGGAGCCCCAGCCCCCCCATTAGATACAGGCACCAAGTTCCCATTTCACACCCTCATGCGCAAGGCTTTCATCACTCTGCCTCTGCCCCAAGAGCCCTTTCTTCATCTCTGCCTCAGGCCCACTGCTGCTCAAGCCCATCTCTCATCAGTCCTGTTGTCCTCTTGCCACCTTCAACCACAAGTGGAAAGCACAAGAACCAGTGTTAAGGACACATGGAAATAGGACTTCAGCACTAGGGGCACATGGATGGGGCATGACAGCAGCAGGCAGACATGCTGAATCAGTCTCTGAGAGGCAGATTTCTTCAGTTCTGTTCTAAGTCCAAGACCAGAAGTTAAGAGAGTTAATCTCAATTCTGCCACCAGCTTTTTAAAATGTTTCTCTGGGTGCAATGCCCTTTGAAAGCCTCCCTTTCTGAAAAAATGAAGAGGATAGAAGAAAATACATCTCCTTCTATGCTTTGATTCTCTAGAAACAAAGACTTGAAATGAAATTCCTTAAATTTTAGAAGGGAGAGCAACAAGCAGCAAGTGTCAAACCTGAAACCTGCATGTGCCAAAGTAAACAATGATAACAGTAAGTATTATAGAATAGAATAATATAGCATTTAAGAAAGTGATAGGCTTAAATCCTGGTACTGCTTATCAGACCCCTCTTACTGTTTTATCACTTTAAAAATAGAGATAAAAAGTCCACTTCTTAAAGCTATTATAAGAAATAAATAAGATAATCTACATTAAGCACTCGGGACAATATAAGCACTCAATAAAATGACAGCTATTACTATTAACACCTGACTGCTTACTGCAAGTCAGGCACACAGCTTGTCACCGCGGCTGCCTCTACACAGCATACAACAAATCAAAACTACAGGGCTGGGGCCCAGAAATCTGTTTCTGTAATAAGAGCCCCAGAGGGATTCTGAGAACCAGTTGAATTTGGTGAACATTTTCCTTCAGCACACATTAATTCAGTGCCACCTTATTGACTTACCTACTGCTTCACAGATCTGTTTATTCAGAATTCTCAAAAGACATAACCTGGAACAGTGCTACTCTCAGACTGCAATCAACATTTAATGAGCTTTAGTCACGCTTCCCCACTTACCACTCTGTCTTAGCTTCTCCAGAGCACAACAAACTTACAATAATTTCCTAATCAGAGTTTTCAAAAATGGATTTCAGGTACAACTGGTGATACAGACTGTAGGTAGGATGCAAACATTTTTGTTAAATAATCACATATGTCCTAAGAATTTTCTGTTTTAAAAGATATCATCAGGCTGGGGGTGTAGCTCAGTGGTACAGCACTTGCCTAGTATGTATGAGACTCTGGGTTTGATCCATAGCATGGTGGGGGAGGGGGTCTGAAAAACAAATAAAAGGTATCTTCCATTTTAAGACAAGAGGACTCTGGGGCCATACTATCTATCCTAGTTCTGCCACTGGCTAGTTATTTTATCTCTGCTTTCTCACTGCAAAATGGACTAACGCAAGTACCTACAGTATTCATCTCATAGGGTGATTGTGAGAAAATAAGTTATTATATAAAAGTAAAGAGCTTAGAAGGTCACCTTGCTAGAGCTATTTTTACTTATATATTTATTGTTCTTGATCATAAACCATTTATTTATATCATGTCTATCTTTAAGAACCTAAAAGCACTTTATATAGTTTTTAATTAATATTAAAATCTAATTAAGGTGACAAATTAGATGCCTGTCTCTCCAAATTCGGTTGTGGAAATAAGGCACAGATATAAATTGATGTTTAGAAGCCCCACTTTCCAATTCACTAGGTGGGACTGCTGAAATTTAGGCCAAATCCTAGTTGGTATTTTGGGTCCAGGACAGCAAGGGCTTAGGGAGCCCCAATGATTTGGGAAGTCGGGGGAGGGGGAGCAGTGGGGCCTTTGATTTACAGGGAGAAGTGGCACATGTCTAAGTGCTAACTGGCTGCATAGTTCAGGCAAATCCTCCAAAATGGAAATGGGAGGGGCTACTTGGAAAGATGGCTCCCCCAGAACTTCTGTTTGTCTTATGCTTCTCTCAGGGAAAAACATGCAATCTTCTAGTGTTGTCCACATACATTCTATCAGCAGGGCGAACACCCTGGTTCTGGATAAACAGCCAATATTTTCAGCAACTATTCCAAAAAGGGTTAGGACCAACTACAAATCAATGTAAGGTGCAAAATGTAGTATTTCCCGAATTTCCTGTTTTTCCTGAGGAAAAAATTATATTTTTTTCATATGTAAAAACAAAGTAAAGAGCTTAGAATAAAATCCTGTTATATAGTAAGCTTTATATTAAGTGTTAACTATTATTATGTTATTCAAGGGGAAAGGGGTAGGTTTTCCACTTATGTATTTGCTTAAAAGTTTCCTTTAAATTTACTTTAAAATGTTGGGGGCAGTGGCACATGCCTGTAATCCCAGCAACTTGGGAGGTTGAGGCAGGAGGATGGCAAGCAACTCAGCAAGACTGTCTCAAAATAAAAAAATAAAGGCGGGGGATGTAGCTCAGTTGTAAAGTACCCCGAGGTTCAACCTCCAGTACACAAATAAATAAATAAACATATACAAACACATACATATATACAAACATTGAAGCTACAAAGTGAATTGATTTTTAAAATATATAAAGCCAGTGTTGATATGTAAGGAACCAGGGTAAAGTAAAAACTGAGAACATGGCATGGGAATTAAAGAACAAAGCACACAGGAAAGGAAAGGCCAGGAGTTTGGAGGAGAAAAAGATGCCCCCCCGCTCCCCCCCGTACTGGGGATTAAACCCAGGGGCATTTACCACTGCAGCTTCATCCCCAGCCCCTATTTATTTATTTGTTTGTTTGTTTGTTTAGAAATAAGGTCTATTAAATTTCTGAGGCTGACCTTAAAATTTAAATCCTCCTGCCTCAGAGTTGCTGGGATTACAGGTATACACCACCATGCCCAGCAAAAAAGATGCTTTTAAAAGCAAGGTACCAGATGACTGTCATGAAAGATTTGAGGATACAGTTTCTCTTTTCTGGGTCTCAATTTTCTAGTGTATAAAACAAATATGTTGAGCCCTTCAGGCTTAAGGTCCTGAGGTGTGCAGTCAACCTACCTTTGTCCTGTCATATTCAGGACCTTGTTTTCTAAGAAGTTAATGACAAAGAATGCACAACTCTTAGTGACTAATCACTATATGTAAGAGTTTGGCCTATGGTGTATGAGTTCATAACAAAGAAGCGGGGAAGACACTATAAATAGAAAAGAAGTCTCACATTTAAAAAGCTTTCAACTAAAAGAGGATATGGGGGATAGAACCATTTGTAAGCATAAACATAATTCTTGTAAGCCCTGGAAAACATAATCTCAGGTTGTTTTTGACTTAGTGCTAAGAAAATAGAATAAACAAAATTAGGTACCCAATGAAAGGTATAATACTTGTAGTTTCACTGAAAACCATGGTGACTGTAAAGCAAGTAAGAGAGAACAGTAAGCTAGGAGTGACGGCATGTGCCCCGCCCCTAGTTCCACCCTCTCAGGAGGTTGAAGCAAGATCACTTGAGCCAGGAATTCAAGCCTGGCTTAAGCAACATAGTAAGACCCAGTCTCAAAAAAAATAAATAATAGGATACATGTGGTTTATATGAAAATACTACACTATTCTATATAGGAGACTTTAGCATCTGCAGACCTGAGAATCTGTGGGGGTCCTGTAACCAATCCCCCATGGATACTGAGGGATGACTGTATATGAGAAGGGCAGAGAGCAGTGCCTGGCATATAGCACAAGCATTAACTATCACGGCAAACATAGCATTCCCTGAGCCTTCTGAATGAAAAAATTCTCTCCTCTGAATTCCTATAGTACTTTAAACTGTCATCTCTCTGAACACTTCTGCATTTTATATCATTTAAGTGCATATCGCTTCCTTTACTGGACTTTAAGTACTAAGAGCAAATTCTACTTCTGCTGCGTCTCTTTAAATTCCCAGCTCCTAATACAATGTCCTGCTCTCAGTACCCACTAGTACATTTGTGAATGGTTAGATATTCAGCTACAGGCAGAACACTTCGGCCAGCACACAAAGCCTCAACTGTTCTTACCACAACATCTTCCAAGATCTTGGTAGGACAAGGTCTGGAATGAAATTCAAAGCATTCATCCTCTGATTTTTTCTTTGGCTCTCGCTCCTGGATTCTTTTCTCAATTTCCAAATCAAAGCCAATAGGCTGAGTGGGTGGTTTCACAGGTGGTTTCTTGGGCAAGATAGGCCCACCTTCAAGAATTCTGGGATCTAGTTCACGTGCTTTGAATTTGTACCTGTGAGAGTTTAATGACAACCACAAATAAATAAACTACACAAACAACAAAGTGAAGCAAAAAACAAAAAATAATCATCACTAAGATGACCAATCATACATGATAAAATTTCCATTCTCTCTCTAAAGTCATTATCTTTACTTCTCAAGTATAGAACAATGAGACAGTCTCAACATTTCCACTTTTAAGATTGGACTTCTCTTCACAGAGGAGCTTCTCCTCCCTTAAAAAAGGCACAAATAGGAATAAAACAAATATATAGAAGATAAGTTCCAATGCTAACCTTATTAAGTTCCAGTTTGCTCCACTAATAATTGTAAAAATCTCTTAAGTAGCCACAAACAGGACATTTCTTAATTAGAATTGTAAGAAGCTCTCCCATTCCAACCTATGCATTAGATTTTTATCAGGACATCTGCATATTCCCACTTTCAGGACATTAATCATAGAGGCAGATACACAGCCTACAGAGCCTACAAAAGTTTCATGAAAAGAAAACAGCAACTATCACTCTTATAGAACAAAGAGAAAGCCAGGTGCAGTGGCGCAAGCCTGCAATCCCAGCAACTCAGGAGGGCAAAGCAGGAGGATCACAATTTAGTGAGATCCTCAGCAACTTAATGAGACGCTTTCTCAAAAATAAAAATGAATAGGGATGTAGTTAAGTGTTTGTAAAGCACCCCTGGGTTCAATCCCTAGTATTAAAAAAGTTTTTTGTTTTTTTCCTTAATTTTTTAAGAACTGAGAGGAAAGCAGGCAGTCCTTGGAAGCGTTCCTCAGATACTGCCAGTGAGACTTACTGCTGCAGTTTCTCAAGCTCCTCAGCTTCCTGTTCCACTGCACTTTTGTAGGTAACAGGCCTTGCCCGGTATTTGGTTTGTAGTAAGGGAGTTTGTGGGTCTCTGGACATCTTGGTCACAGATGATTTGGAGGGTAACACACCTATAAAGCAAGATTAGATATTCACTCGTTTCCTAAGATCTACTGTACCTACAAGTGCTGACTCAACTAGGAAGCCCAAAGATGAATAAAATCAGAGTGGCTAGCCCTCCCCACTCAGCTCTGCTCTGTCAGACTATTTAACAAATACTCCCTTCTTACTATCACTATTTATTGAGGGGTAGCCTTTTGGTAAATTAAATTCCTGTCATCTTCTAAATCTAATATCCATTCAAATCTGATGGGTTTATTGGCAATCCACCAGGCTGCATTTTCTATTTCTGTCATTGACAATTAAGATTTCTTTAATCTAGCTTTAAAAATAAGACCTTTACAAAGCTCAAGAAATGAATCTCAATTTTATAAATTTCCCAAAACCATATATCAAAGCATCAGTAAAAAAAGAAGTGGAAAAAAAAAAAAAAAAACTATGTCAAAGCATAACTACTAAGACAATCACCACCACTCATAGAAAATACTAATTTACCTGGCCAGAGACAATGCTGGCAATTCTCATAATTATTTAGAATGAGTCCTCTAATTTAGTTCTTATCACATAACAGGAGAAAATCAAAACCAAATCTATTTATTTTGGAAATAAGTCATGCTTCAATTATATATACAAGGGGGCCAGGGTTGTGGCTCAGTGGTAGAGCACTTGCCTAGCATGCATGAAGCACTGGGTTAAATAAAATAAAGGTCTTGTGCCCATCTACAACTTAAAAAAAAAAAAATTAAATACATATATTTTTCTAATTTATTTTTTAGTACAAGCATAATTATATCTGTATAAAGTAAAATGTGGGGGTTGGGGTTGTGGCTCAGTGGTAGAGCGCTTGCCTAGCATGTGTGAGTCCCTGGGTTCGATCCCCAGCACCACATACAACTAAATAAACAAAAGAAAAGCATTGTGTCCATCTACAACTAAAAATATTTTAAAAAAAAAAATAAATAAATAAATAAAGTAAAATGTGTATAAAATAGATTTTTGTTTCCATTTGCCACAACTAGAATTCTAAGAACAGGACATATCAGATTAAATCTTACAGTCATATATTATTTGAGAAGCCAAGTTTTATATTTAAATTTCCATGAGGATAAAAAAAAAAAATGATATTTTGCTGGGCGCAGTGGCATATGCCTATAACCCTACTCAGGAAACTGAGGCAAGACGATCCCAATTTATTTTTTTTATGGGAAGGGAGGTACTGGGGATTGAACTGAGGAGCACTTAACAACTGAGCCACATCCCCAATCCTACTCTGTATTTTATTTACAGACAGGGTCTCACTGAGTTGCTTTGCACCTCGCCGTTTCTGAAGCTGGTTTTGAAGTCGCTATCCTCCTGCCTCAGCCTCTCTCCACTGGGATTATAGGGGTGTGCCACCATGACAAGCGAGGATCTCAATTTCAAGGCTAGCCATGGCAACTTAATGAGACCCTGTCTCAAAACAAACAACAAAAAAAGGCTGGGTATATAACTTTGCGATAGAGCACTTGCCCAGCATAAGCAAGGATACATCCTCAGTAACAAACCCCCCAAAATCTTTTTTCATTATTCCTATAATATAAAATCTGACAAAATGAAAACATTAAGAAATGCTGTATGGTAAGGCACAGTGGAGCATGCCTGTAATCCCAGCAATTTGGGAGGGTGAGGCAGGAAGACTGCAAGTTCAAAGCCAGCCTTAGCAATTTAGCAAGGCCCTAAGCAATTTAGCAAGACCTTGTCTCAAAATAAAAAATAAAAAGAGACAGGAATGTAGCTCAGGGGTAAGGTGCTCCTGGGTTCAATCTCAAGTACCTCCTTAAAAAAAAAAAAGAAACACTGTATGTACATAGCCAGATGTACAGACACATGCCTGTAATATCCAAGCAGCTCAGGACGTTGAGGCAAGAGGATCACAAGTTCAAAGCCAGCCTCAGCAACTTAATGAGACCCTGTCTCAAATAAATAAATAAATAAATAAACTGGGGATATGGCTCTGAGGATAAGTACCCTTTGGGTTGAATCCCTGGTACCAAAGAAGAAATGCTATATTTTATAAAGGAACTTTTGTGGTTACCTAATACAGTGCTAAACAATGCCTATACAAGGATATAAAAATTTTAGAGAGCTCAAAAACAAAATGATCACATTCTGTTTTATCTAGAACACTAGCCCTAGTCTCTCATTGACAACTATTTTATAATACCTCCACTCTTCAGGCTTAGTTTAGAAATTATTTTCATAAAGATAGAAACTATTAGATTAGAACCCATTCATCAGTTCACCGTCAAACCCAGAAACCCACCAGCATTTGAACTAACACTATTCACTCTTCATCCTCCTTTTAAAGAACAATCACTCCACCTATGTGAAGAATTCTAGGAGAAGGCTCCAGCCAGTTTTATTAGTAGAAAACTTACTAAAATCTTCCTTCTTGCTCCTCAAATGATATCTGTTAGGAGTTCGTTTATGGAAGGCTTCAACTTGCTGTGCAAGGGGCACATATGTAGAAGCTGCTTCATCAAATGTTCTCTTCTTTCCTTGGGAGAGGTTAAAAGGCTTTGTAATGGTACATCCCTTAAGCACATGAGCCTATGAAAAGAAAAGTTGTTCCACAAACAAAATGTTATAATAAAAGAGCACAGATCTACTATAAGGCATATATTCTGCACAAATAATAAAAGTATAAGCCTGGCATGGTGGTGAACACCTGAAATCTCAGCAAACTCAGGAGGCTGAGGTAAGAAGGTTCCAAGTTTGAGGTGAACCTCGGCAACTTAGCAAGAACCTGTCTCAAAACAAAAGGGCTAGGAAGGTAGCTCAGTATAGAGTGCCCCTGGGTTCGATCCCCAGAACTGCAAGAATGAATGAATAAATAAACTGTGTAATACCATTGAGCTACATTCCCAGCTCCCTTTTTGTTTTTTGGCTTTTTAAATTCGGGACAGGGTCTTACTAAGTTATGGAAGCTGGCCTTAAAACTGCAATCCTTCTCCTTAGTCTCCCAAGTAGCTGGCATTACACCCATGCACCACTGCACTAATCTCCCATTATTAAAAAAAAAAAAAAAAAATCTAGCATTTAACAAATTATTATTATTATTATTATTATTGTGCAATAGTACTTAGTTTTCCCAAGCATGTGAGTATTTTGAATTAATCAAGACCAAACTTTCTTAGAATTCAATGGGGAAAAAATGCTGCAAAGGCATCCTACCCAAACCCTTTAAAGTCAATTGACCAGGCTGTGGGTCGGCATCAGGTCAGGCAGATGACTGATGAAAAAGCCTACTCCTTAAATCATTAATTTTAATAAAACTAGTCTCTGACAGGAAGAAAAAATTAAGGATATATCTTAAAAGGAACACAAATTCAGGGTTTAAGACTGCAAAAGACTGGTCTGGGGCTGTAGCGCTTGCCTAGCATGTGTGAGGCACTGAATTTGATCCTCAGCACCACATAAAAATAAACAAATAAAGGCATTCTGTCCATCTACAACTACAAAAAAAAAAAAAACTGACCGACTTTAAAAACTGATGATGCTCTGGAGTTGTGGCTCAGTGGTAGAGCACTTGCCTGGCATGTGTGAGGCCGTGGGTTCAATCCTCAGCACCGCATATAAATAAAATTTTAAAATATCCATTTACAACTAAAAAATATTAAAACAACAACAACAACAACAAACAAACAAAAAAAAAAACTGATAATGCCAGGGGCTGGGGTTATAGCTCAGTGGTAGAGCGCTTGCCTTGCACTTGTGAGGTACTGGGTACGATCCTCAGCACCACATAAAAAAATAAATAAATACGGCTGGGTCTGTGGTTCAGTGGTAGAGCGCTTGCCTAGCATGTGTGATGCCCTGGGTTTGATTCTCAGCACCATATACAAATAAATAAATAAAGGCCCATCAATAACTAATAAAAATATTTAAAATAAATAACTAAAGATATTGTGTCCATCTTTAAAAAAAAGAGATAATTAATAATGATGATGCCAACTACAAATGAGACTAGATTAGTTCTAGAATTTTTTGAATTATTATTATTTAACAAATATTTAATAAATAATTTTAATAAATAATAAATAATTTTATTTAATAGAATTTGAGTGATCTGCCCCAACCTCATTTTTTCCCATAACCTCTCTTATATTTTGTATAAAATTTTGCAAACGTAAGAGTCTGTCAAGAATTTTATGACAGTAAAAATGCCTATACCTTCAGTTTCTCAAACTGAATGTGCTTTATGCATCTTCTCAATTAAATTTTCAGAGCAACTTAGTAAGATAGTTCCCAGGAAGGAATGATTTATCCAAGGCCACACAGTTTACAAAAGATTTACTTAAATTCAAAATATATAATTCTCTGAATTGTACTACTGTAAAAAGTGACCACAAATGCTACACTTGAAGTCTGAACTGAACTAGTTTATCAACATACAGGAGATGAAGGATGCTTTCGAAGTTCAGATACAAAGTTTACTTCCTTATACTCCTCCTGGTTCTTAGGGTGCTGTTTGATTCGCTCATCTGTGCGGAAGTGGAAGTCAACTGATTTAGTTACTTGGCTCACTGATTTCTTCACAGGTTGCCCTAAGTGAGAAGCAGAGTAAAACAGAGATAACATTAAGAATAGAGAACATCGGGCTGGGGATGTGGCTCAAGCAGTAGCGCGCACGCCTGGCATGCGTGCGGCCCGGGTTCCATCCTCAGCACCACATACAAAGATGTTGTGTCCGCCAAAAAAAATAAAAAATAAAAAATAAATAAATATTAAAATTCTCTCTCTCTCTCTTTTAAAAAGAAAAAGAATAGAGAACATCAGTTGAGTGCAGTAGCTCCTGCTTATAATCCCAGCAACTCAGGAGACTGAGGCAAGAGAATCACAAAGCTGAGGACAGCCTTGGCAACTCAGCAAGAAACTGTCTCAAAATAAAAAATAAAAAGGGACTGGAGATATAGTTCAGTAGTAAAGCACTGCTGGGCTCGATCCCCATTACCCACCTCCCCTAACACAAAAAGAATAGAGAACATCATTAAATCCTCTTTTACTCTAACCCTTTTGGTATTCCTATTACCATGGATCTAACTGTTTACTATCTACATGTAACCTGGAACTGAAAACAGTCCTCAGGGACACTAACACATGTCATGTTTATTAAGTCCTACTGGGTTTCAAGCCCTTTGGTCAGATACAAGCAAAGGGAAGAATCCCATTTCCTAGGTATAATCATTACTCTGGAGAAAAAATTACTAGAATACTTTTGATAGGAAAAGCTATGGACTGATCTTTTTTGTGTGTGGGGTGCTAGAGACTGAACCTAGAACCCCACATATGCTAGTCAAGTGCTCTGCTACTAAGCTACACTATCACTCCCTATACAATGACTTTAAACGCAAACTTAGCATCCCTAAGAAGTAAACCTTATAAACTCCATGGGTGCTTTTTCAACCCAGTAAGCCGACTCTTTAGTTTTGACTTAATAAATCTATGTCAAAATAAAGCAAAACTGTAACCTTTTCCCTCAGTTATACTTTTCCTCCACAGCTACAAGTGAAGTTGACTCAGCTCTTTTTGCCTTTACGATAAAAGGAAGAAACAACAAACTGGCCTGTATAGTTATTTTGCCTTTTGTCTCAATCCTAGTTCCTACTTTTTCTAATACAAAGAGGAGGACTAGCACACCTAAGGAAGGGCCAATGCAGATAAAATGTTTTAGGGAATAATCATTGGGATATAAATGGAATTCATGTCCAGTCTTTTAATACACCCAGCCTTTAGTGATGACTACCAAGAAAGCCTTTTTTTGCTTTAGAGACCTCAGAAAACCCTCAGATTATAAAAAGCACCCCTCAAAAATTAGTCTCAACCAGAGCCAAGCTGACCTGCTCCTGCAAGAGCAAGTTTCTTGTATTCTTCATTCTTTTTCCGCATCTCCACCACTTCCTGCTGCATTTTCATTCTCTTCTCCAACTCTTGCTCCTCAGTACTTTTTAAAACCTTCTGCCTAAAGGGAAATCATTAAAAGAGATGAGAGGAGAAAGAGGCCCAATGATTCACAAGAACTTAAAGGTATTATATAGACTGTTTTTAATCTATGATAAGTATCAAAATCCAAAAATATTATCTAATAAGCAGATATTGGCTTAATTAGATAACACTATAAAAAATATGCATACTTTTTCGGAAAAAATATAGCTAAAACAGACTATAAAATATACTACAAAAGACTCACAAATCTGTGCAATGATTAGCTTTTATGCCATATAAAAAATTATATTTAAAAATCCAGGGACGAGGTTGTGGCTCAGTGGTAGAGCACTTGCCTAGCATGCATGAGGTACTGGGTTCGATCGCGGGTACCACATTAAAAAATATATAAATAAATAAATTAAATTAAATAAAGGTAGTGTGTCCATCTACAACAAAAAAAAAAAAAAAAAAATTTAAAAAAAAATCCAGTAGAACAGTGAGGCTGTAGAGCATTTTGCATAGCACATGTGAGGCACGGGTTTGAACCTCAGTACCACATAAAAATAAATAAAATAGGGCTGGGGATATTGCTCAAGTGGTAGCGCGCTCGCCTGGCATGCGTGCAGCCCGGTTTCGATCCTCAGCACCACATACAAACAAAGATGTTGTGTCCGCCGAAAACTAAAAAATAAATATTAAAAAAAATAATAAAATAAAGGTATTGTGTCCATCTACAACTTAAAAAAAAACAAAAACAAAAAACAGTAGAATGGGAAAAAAAGAGGACTGGGGATGTAGCTCAGAGGTATAGTGCTTGCCTAGTATCTGCAAGATCTTGGGCTTGATTCCTAATACTGAAGAAAAAAAACAAGAATAGGGAAAATATTTACCAACAAATATAACAAAGAATATGTAAGTGTAATAGAGAAGACAGAAGTAAAGTCAACCGGGGTTCAAATCTCAACCCTGTCATTTCATTTCTTACCTATATGAATTAAAAAAAAACTATTTAGCCAGGTGCAGTGCCACATGCCTATAATCCCAGAGACTCAGGAGGCTGAGACAGTAGGATTAAAAGTCTAAGGCCAGGGGCTGGGGTTGTAGCTCAGTGGTAGAGCGCTTGCCTTGTACATTTAGCATCACATAAAAATAAATAAATCAAACAAAGTTATTGTGCCCATCTACAACTAAGAAAAAATTTTTTAAAAAAGAAAGTCTGAGGCCAGCCTGGGCAACTTAGTCAGACTCTGTCTAAAAATAAAAAAATTAAAAGGACTAGAACTGGAAAATAGTGGTAGAGAGTGTCCCTGGGTTCAATTCCCAATAAAAGGAAGTAAGGAGCTGGGGATATAGCTCAGTTGGTAGAGTGCTTGCCTTGCATGCACAAAGCCCTGGGTTCAATACCCAGTATCCCAGTACCACAAAAAAAAAAAAAAGGAAGTAAGGAAAAAAGAAAGGAAGGGAAAGAAAAGAAGAGAGAGGGAGGACTAGAGGAAGGGAGGAAAAGAGGGGAGGGAAACAAGGCAAGCAGGCATGATTGAACTATGTCACAGCAAGTGAATAAAACGGAACCCAAGGGCTGGGGATGTGGCTCAGGCGGTAGCGCGCTCGCCTGGCATGCGTGCGGCCCGGGTTCGATCCTCAGCACCACATACAAAGATGTTGTGTCTGCCGAAAACTAAAAAAATTAGTATTTAAAAAATTTTCTCTCTTTCTCTCTCTCTTTCTCTTTAAAAAAAAAAAAAAAACGGAACCCAAAAGTTCTTTATTAACAGTTGTGAAAGTATGTGTATCTACTTAGATAAAGGCCAAAGGGAGCTTTTAAAAATGAAAATTGTTGGGCTGGGGTTGTAGCTCAGTGATAAAGGACTTGCCTCACATGCGTGAGGCCCAGGGTTCGATTCTCAGCACCAAATAAAAATAAACATATTGTGTCCATCTACAACTTAAAAAAATTAAAACTATTCAATGTATGTAGTCTGAATCTTTACCTTTTCCTTCTACATTTTAAATTTACTTTAATAGCATATTTTTCTCATTATTTAAAGTATAAGTACCCTCCAGAACACTAGTAACAATTCACTTTGCCCTGGTCACAACTTTAGAGGAGTTTCCTAAGCTCCAGGAGCACCAAATGGAATGAGGATGTACCTTTTTGTAAATGGAATCTATTTGCTCTAAAATTTAAATAGGGAAACTTACTTTATGAGTGGTGTGCAAGTCATAGTATGTCTGCCCTTGACTTTCTCTGGGGAAGATTCAGTCTTTTGAGAAGTATCTTGAGAACTGCCTCCTTCCTCTTCCTCTGGTTTCTTTTTGTTGATAGAACTTAAGTTCAGAAGGACACAAAATATATTCTCAATGTCCTAAACCATATGCCATACCATCCTCCTCTCCAAATCTACCACGTGGCTTAAATTTTCTCATTTTTAAGATGGTAAGCATGTATCAACCACATAATTCTTTCAATTGTATCATCTGAACATATATACCAAAGGTTCTAGGGAATAAACTTTGAAAAACATCAACAGAGGTCAAGGTAAAGGTTGACCAGCGGTGATTCAGTAGAGTAAGATGGGATTCTTTCTATCAGCTCATCATCAAATGAACAAATGGCAGACACCTAATCCCCTTCCTAATATCTATTCCATCTCTTTCTTATTAATAAAATCCCAATTTGGGAGGAATCACCAATATACCAAAGCTACTACAAGTAAGTGCTGAACTTGCTATAATAGACTCCACTGCAACTAAGGGGTCAAGGTAGTAGTCTGGCAACTAAAATACAATTCAAAGGCTTCTGGGAAAGATTTCATTTTCCTTCCATTACTGTACTCCTTCTCTTGAAAATGGATGTGATACAGCAGCTACCTTGTGATAATGTAGCAAGAAGCAAAAGGAAAAAGCTGAGAAACAGAGCAGCCACCTTGAGCCACAAGTATGAAAAAAAAAAATGCTAAGAATCAGAGATGCTAGCCCTGGCATTATTTACCCACTAAACCAAAGCCAGCAGCAAACTACTTTGTAAAGCAAATAAATCACTATTATTTAAACATTTCAGCCGAATAGACCATGACTTGCAGCAAAATACATTCCTAACTGGTAAAAATAAGAACCAACACTATATATTCAGCTTGCTCTTAGACAGGGAATCAAACAGAAATAAAATCTGTGCCAAGGCAGATTTGAAATCCTCCAGAATGCAGATAACAATTTACCTCATCATGGTCACAGCTTTAAGCTTCCCCAGATCCAGGTGCACCAAACATATTGCAGATGTACATATTTTACTTGTACCCTATTCCCTCGGAAAGAAATTAACCTTACAGGTGGTAAACAAGGCACACACAGTATGTCTGTTCTCAGCAGTTAGACGCTCAGGCTACTTACACTTTCATTCTTTTGGAAGGTGGTATTTCACTGATTACGGGAGTGGCACATCTCTTTGCTTTCATTTGAACATGGCGTTTTTCTTTTTGCTCCAAATCCTTCTGAGCAGAGAGTCTAAGAGATCTTCTATGGTAGAGGAATTGACAAAATTTATAATGAATACAGCTGCTACAGACATAATGTTCTTCAGAAACATGAAAATTGTAAAAACTACAAAAGATTATAAAAAGCTTAGAATTACTATCTACATTCCAAAAATCTAACCTCTCTTAAGTTGCTGACAATTTTTGAAATTTAACAATAAGATTTTGGTACTTAAATAAATTTGTATTTATAAATTAAATCTCAATAAACCTGATTTTAAAAAAAAATAGAGTTGGGCTGGGGATGTGGCTCAAGCGGTAGCGCGCTCGCCTGGCATGCGTGCGGCCCGGGTTCGATCCTCAGCACCACATACAAACAAAGATGTTGTGTCCGCCGAAAACTAAAATAAATAAATAAACATTAAAAAATTCTTTAAAAAAAAAAAAAAATAGAGCAGGTACAGTTGAATGTACTGTTGAGTTTCTTAGGAGTCTGAGAGAGGGGGGCCATGGAACTCAGGAGTTCAAGACCAGCCAGGGTATATAGAAAGATTCTACTTCCTTTAAAAAAAATAAATAACTTGCCAGCAATCACATATAATTCCCTCCTTTTATAGGTCAGAGTCAAAAGAAATGAAAAGGCTTGACTCTTTTAGTCAACATGTTAGTAATTTGCCATAGCTTGTTACCATAAGACTTAAAATTAGAGTACAGCTTCTGGAAATTGACTAAGGTGTTTATTTTCTCCTTTTTCTTTTAGTAGACCCTACCTTTGGAAAAATACAAGAAACTAAACAGTGAACAAAACACAAATAAATACTTAAATAATTACAAAGTGAAGACTCATGAAATCACCACCTAGGATAAGAAACAGAACACTGACAATAGCTGCCATCTTGATTTTTACAGTAATCATCACTTCTTCTTTATCATGTTACCAAATAAGCATGCATTCCATAAATATGATATATTAGTTCTTAGGGAAAACAATAAACTTCATAAAATATAAAAATCAGACTACTACAAGTATAATTTTGTGTTTAATTTCACTCAGTGTTGTAGAATTCCACATATATATTAAGAGAAGTTAGATTTTTGGAATGTAGATAATAATTCTAAGTTTTTTATAATCTTTTGTAGTTTTTACAATTTTCATGTTTCTGAAGAACATTATGTCTTCAGCAGCTGTTCTCATTATAAATTTTGTCATACACACACACACACACACACACTTCAAAAGCCAATAGATGAATTAAAATACAAAACTAAAAATTATTTGAATGATGGCTAGGGTTGAGCTGAGTGGTAGACACTTGCCAACATGTGCAAGGCCCTGGGTTGAATCTCTGGCACAATAAATAAATAAGCAAACAAATAAATAAATATTTGAATGATACAAATATAGGAAAGGAAAATCAGAACAACAACAAAAGATGAGATGTATAGAAAACAATAAGTACAAAGGCAGATCTAATTTAATTAAATTCATGATTATAATACAGAAATGGTAAAAGCAAATATAAACATTTAAAACAAAATGCGATTATCAGATTGGATTAAAAAGCAAGATCTCACTAAGTATTATCTATAAAAGATAAGCTTTAAAATCAAAATCAGGGGTGGGCATCAATGGTAGAGTGTTCACTTAGCATACATAAGGTCCTCAGTTTGATCCCAAACACCACAAATAAAAGTGACGATAATAAAAGTCAAAAACAGGTCAAAAGTTAAAGGATAGCAAGAAATCTACAAGCTAGGTGAAATAGCACATGACTAATCCCAGCTACTCAGGAGACTGAGGTAAGAGATTGCAAGTTCAAGGCCAGCCTTGGCAACTAAGTAAGACCTGTCTCAGAACAAAGAGAAACAGGCTAGGAATATAATTCAGTACTAGAGCACTCGCCTAGCATGTGCACTCAAAGTTTTTCAATCCCAGTGTTGGGGGGGGGGTATAAAGAAAAATAAAGAAAAAGATACTATGCAAATATAACCTTGAGAAACACTGAGGAATAAAAAAGAAACAGGGGCTGGGACTGATGCTCAGTGGTAGAGTGCTTGCCTAGCACATGTGAGATAATAGGTTTGATCCTCAGTACTGAATAAAAATAAATAAAGTTATAAAAAAGAGAGATAAAATAAATAAAAATGAAACCTTTAAAAAATATGACATCAGGAAGATGTAACAATTAAATGCATACAAAGCTTTTGGAACCAGATTGATCAGGATCTGAATTCTAGCTCTGAAATGACTTGCCTTGGGCAAGCAACTTAGTATGACTGAGCTCTATAAACTAAGCTTACAAGCTACAATTCATGTGTTAAATGAGGTAACATAAAGAGTGTAACACAGAGCTGGGGCCGTGGCTCAGCGGCAGAGTGCTTACATGTGAGGCACTGGGTTCAATCCTTAGCACTGCATACAAAAATAAAGGCATGCTGTTCACCTACAACTACTAATTTAAAAAAAAAAAAAAAAAAAAGAGTGTAACACAGTGGACACATAGGAAGTGATCTGCGGGGTTATTACTTTTTTGAAAATGATTATAAGCACAACTTTTTTTCTTTTTGGTACCAGGTATTGAACCCAGTGGTGCTTTACCACCAAACCACATCTCCAATCCTTCTTTTTTTAAATTTTAAGACAGTGTCTCCCTAAATTGCTTAGGGCCTTGCTAAGTTGCTGAGTGCCGAGGCTGGCCTTGAACTTGCAATCCTCTGCCTCAGCCTCCCAAGTTGCTGGGAAGTGCACCACCAGCAAAACCATAATTTTGAGCCCTAATACAGACTTACCTCTGAGGCTGGGTTGGAGTATTTCTTGATACGGCTCTCTCAGTTTCCAGGGAAGAACAAGCATTTGAAGGAATGGAATATTCCATAAGATTTTCCTTTTCAGCCTCTTTGTAATAAATGTTGTCAACTGTGGAAAACCAAAAAAAACAGTTGGCACTCAAATCCAAAAGGCAATAGATTAGAAAAGATATAGACATATATAAGTATAGCTATATATGACTTAATACAGAATTCTAGGTTGAAATCATACACACACACACACACACACACACACACACCCCCTTCCTAAGCAACGGAACCCTTAGTTCTAGTGATATCTTATGTAGCAGTCTGTTTATAAAAGCTATTTTGCTGCCGGAAGTGGTAGCACATGCCGATAATTCCTGCAACTCCGGAGGCTGAGGTAGAAGAATTTCAAATTCTAGGTCAACCTCAGCAATTTAGCGAGACTCTGTCTCAAAATAAAAATTTTTAAAAAAATTTTTTTTCTAGTTATTGACAGACCTCCATTTCAATTCTGTGGTGCTGAGAATTGAACCCAGTGCCTCACACATGCCAGGCAAGTGCGCCACTGCTGAGCCACAGCCCCAGCCCATCAAAATAAAACATTTTTTAAAAGCTACTATGGTTAAAGCAGAAATAAAGTATGCAAGTTGGGTGCAGTGGCACAACTCTGTAATTCCAGGACCTCAGGAGGTTGAAAAAGGAGGACCAAAACTTTGATCTTGCTAAGCCAGCCACAATAACTTAGTAAGAACCTGCCTCAAAATACAAAGTTAGAAGGACTAGGGATATAATTCATTGGTAAAGCACCCTTGGATTCTTTTTTTTTTTTAATATTTATTTATTCATTTATCTTAGTTTTAGGTAGACACAATATCTTCATTTTATTTTTATGTGGTGCTGAGGATCAAACCCAGTGCCTCACACATGCTAGGTGAGTGCTCTATCTCTGAGCCAGAACCACAGCCCAGCACCCTTGGATTCTATTCCCAGTATTGAAAGGAAGGAAGGGAGGAAAGGAAGGAAGGAGGGAGGGAGGAAGGCAAGCAGGCAGGCAAAAGAGAAAAAGCAAAAGACACATGAATACCAGGCTGGGGTTGTGGCTCAGTGGTAGAGTATTTGCCTAGCATTGTGAAGCACAGGGTTCGATTCTTAGCACTGCATATAAATAAATAAAGATCCATCGACAACTAAAAAAATATATAAAAAAAAAAAAAAAAAACAGATGGATACCAAAGTTCAGGGTCCTTGTTCCTGAACTCAACAGATACCATCTATACCCACAATCAATTATTTGAAAGTCAGCCTAGCAGCACAGACTATGAACTAATCAAGTTCACTGAAAATATGGTTATATCTCTGATACAGCCCCTCTAGTTACAAAGTGACTGAGATCAGTTTCAGATTTACCCACAGGATAATTTTCAGATGTTCTAAATTGATTAAGTTGATAGGTGCACAGCTCTGATATTTTAAGTAGATGAATTACACGATAAGTGAACTATATCTCAACCGAGCCATTACTTTTTTTAAAAAATCATTTTCAAGAGGTTTTAGGGACTGGGGTTGTAGCTCAGTGGTAGAGCACTTGCTTAACACATGTGAGGCACGGGGTTCAATCCTACCACCACATAAAAATATATTTTAAAAAAATAGACAGGTGCAGTGGCACACACCTGTAATCCCAGCAGCTTGGGAGGCTGAGACAGGAGGATAGGAAGTTCAAAGCCAGCCTCAGCAAAGGCAAGGCACTAAGCAACTCAGTGAGACCCTGTCTCTAAATAAAATATAAAATAGTGCTGGGGATGTGGCTCAGTGGTTGAGTGCCTCTGAGTTCAATCCCTACTACCCTAGAAAATAAATAAATAAATAAAGGTACTGTGTCCATCTACAACTAAAAAGAAAAACAGGTTTTAGGACCTCTGAATGCATGCTGCTCCTGTTCTGATCAAAGAGACAATATTGTATAGAGTTAGTAACCACCAGTTTAAATGTCAATCATCTTTTTTTTTCCCCTTGGAATAGGTGATTGAACCCAGGGGTACTTTGCCTCTAAGCTACATCCCTAATCCTTTCTTTCTTTTCTTTTTTCTTTTTTTTTTTAAATTTGGAGTCAGGATCTTGTTGTTACTAAGGCTGACCTCAAGCCTCAGCCTCCCAAATCACTGGGGTTACAGACATGTGCCACCACACCCAGCTCAATCATCTTTTAAAATCAATATGTAAGTCCAAGAATTCATATATAATGGTAAGCAGTACACTCTTCTCTTCTGCTGTTTTGTTTCCCAACCAGACCCAAGTTAGGTTTTGTCATAAAACAACAATACTTAGGCACCTAGCAATAAAATTTTATATTAGCTCAAGTTCCAAGAAATAAAAAAAATAATAATTAGAACAAGATTAGTTTTATGATCATCAAGAAATTAACTAGCTCAGGGGCTGGGATTGTGGCTCAGTAGTAGAATACTCACCTAGCATGCATGAGGCACCGGGTTCAATCCCCGGAACCACATAAAAAAATAAAATAAAGGTATTGTGTCCATCTACAACCAAAAAAAAATTTTAAAAAAATAAAAAAGAAGGGCTGGGATTGTGGCTCAGTGGTAGAGTGCTCACTTTGCATGTGTGAGACCCTGGGTTTGATCCTCAGCATCACATAAAAATAAATCAGTGAAATAAAGGTATTGTGTCAAACTACAACTAAAAAATAAATATTAAAAAAGAAAAAGAAAAAGAAAGAAAGAAAAGAAATTAACTAGCCCAGTTCACCAATAATAAATCAAGAGATATAGCATTTAGGTAATTTCCCAGGTCCTCAGGTTCCTAATACATTGTCCCACATTCTGTCAAAAAACTTTTTTCTAAAAATGTTCTTTATTACCTGGTCTCAAAGGTGTGTCATTAGCTTGCTGAAGATTAGCCTTTTTCACAGAAGTTTTGCTCTGAAAAAGCCCTCCTGTCCCATTCCCAGGATACTTGTTTTCCAAATTGGCCTTCTCATCTGCAAAAAAGCAAAGTCATCATCATCCAAACAATGAATAAAAGCAAAACAAATTTGCACCAGGTACTTAAAATAGGGAATAAAGCCCCTTCCAGTATCTTTCCAATTTGTTTAGGAAGAACAAGCAAAGTTCTAGCAATCAAAAGGAAGAGGAGGACTGGAAGAGTTAGGAGTACCTGGGCAAGTGGGCTACCACTGAGTTCAATCTCCAGAAGAAGGGAAAAAGAAAAAGGAAATGAATACACATTATATCAGAAACTCTGAAAACTATCACTAAAGAAGTGGCAACACTGAACAATGTACAATGAACAAAAGCAAAAGTGTGGAATCTGCGAATGTAAATAGCTCCTTATCTTTTGCTTGATACACAGTCAGGGCCATACAAACATGACCTGGCCTTGTCTACTATCTAAATACATTATGTTCCTCTTAAAGTAAACTGTAGCCACCAGGAACTGTAGGACTTACAAGGGATATTGTATAGTCAGACCTGCTTCTACAACTGACAAGATGAGACATGCATGTGCAATGCATGCAAGTGAAGCAGAGCTAGCTTCTCTCTTAACTAAGATAGTTTTATCTTAGGTTCTGCTGTGCAAAATAGTGAAAAGTCTATTCTACCAACACCACACTCATAAAGCTGCAGGAATGCAGTGATCCCCAGCAATAACATCTCTGTGCCTGTATGCTCTGATTGCAAGTGTATAAAAAGACATGATTATCTGAAAGAAAAGTGGAAAGTAATATATTAAAATAAGAAAGTTCTGAAAGATTATGGGATTAAGTTTTTTTCTGCCAAGTTGTATGTAATAGTATTGTTATGCTAGTATTTCTTTTTCTTTCATTCTTTTGTTTGTTTGTTTGTTTAAAGACAATCTTGGGGGGCTGGGGATGTGGCTCAAGCGGTAGCGTGCTCGCCTGGCATGCGTGCGGCCCGGGTTCGATCCTCAGCACCACATACAAACAAAGATGTTGTGTCTGCCGAAAACTAAAATAAATAAATAAATTAAAAAAAAAAAAAAAAAAGACAATCTTGGAAAAAGAAATCCTCAGGGGCTGGGGATATAGCTCAGGTGGTAGAGTACTTGCCTAGTAAACACAAGCCCCTGGGTTCAATCCCTAGCCCACCAAACAAAGAAAAAAGAAATCCTCAGACAGCCCAGGCATTTCCTCCAGGTTCCAGAGAAGCAAGGACATGGGGAAGACCCCTCTAGGATAGCTAGCCCTCTTATATACCCCTTCCTCCCAAACCATTTCCAACAGACCACTCCTCTCAGGATTCACAATGGATACCACTAAAATCCTTTCCCAAGAGAATGGCAGATGCCATCACATTGGGACACTATACTTAAGTGCCAAGTATGGCTGCAAAGGATTCATTTTTGTCCCTACCGCATATTGATTTCTCCTTCAAGGAGAATGACGACATGAGAAAGAATAAAATGAAGGGGCCTCATCAACCACTGATCTCACATTATTATTTCAAAGTTAAGTAAAAACATAACCATGGGGCCAGGGCTGGGGCTGAATGGCAGAGTGCTTGCCTAGCATGTGTGAGGCACTGGGTTTAAAAAACTAAAAAAATAAAAGCATGTTGTCCATCTATGACTATTAAAAAAAATAAACATACTGTGGCCTGGCTTCAGACTATATGCCACATCACAGAACCAAATCAGGTAATTCTGTTATCGAGGACTGGGTCTTTAGGAGCAAAATCTTTCCACTTAAAAATGAATTGGGGGGCTGGGGATGTGGCTCAAGGGGTAGCGCTCGCCTGGCATGCGTGCGTCCCGGGTTCGATTCTCAGAAACACATACAAATAAAGATGTTGTGTCCGCCGAAAAACTAAAAAATAAATATTAAAAAAAAAAATGAATTGGGGGGGTTGGGGTTGCGGCTCAGTGGTAGAGCACTTGCCTAGCATATGTGAGGCACTAGGTTCGATTCTCAGCACCACATATAAATAAATGAATAAAATAAAGGTCCGTCTACATCTAAAAAAAAATTTCTTTTTGTAAATGAATTGGGGGCTAGGGCTTGGGCTTAGTGGTAGAGCATTCGCCTGGAATGAGGTACTGGGTTTGATCCTCAGCACCACATAAAAACAGAATAAAGATATTGTGTCGGGCTGGGGATATGGCTCAAGGGGTAGCGCGCTTGCCTGGCATGCGTGCGTCCCGGGTTCGATCCTCAGCACCACAAACAAACAAAGATGTTGGGTCTGCTGAAAACTAAAAAATAAATATTAAAAAATTAAAAAAAAAAAAAAGATATTGTGTCCATCTACAAATTAAAAAAATACATATTTAAAAGAAAATGAATTAGGGCGGGCAGAGGGAATGTAATTATAAAAGGGCAACACCAGGCACAGTGGTACACACCTATAGTCCCGGCTACTCAGGAGGCTAAAATAGGGGGTTATCTCTTGAGCCCAAAAGTGTGAGGCTAGCCTGGGAAATAGTGAAATTCCATCTCAAAAAGTAAGTAAATAAACAAAGATAAAATAAGATAATAAAAAATAGCTGGGCATAGTGGCACATGTCTGTAATCTCCACAGCTTGGGAGGCTGAAGCAGGAGGATCTCAAATTCAAAGCCAGCCTCAGTAACTTAGTGAGGCCCTAAGTAACCCAATGAGACCGTCTCTAAATAAAATACAAAAAAAAGGGCTGGGGACATGGCTCAGCGGTTAAGCACCCCTTAGTTCACCCCCCAATACCCACCCCCAAAATGATAATGAAAAATAAAACAGGGCCAGGAATGAAGCTCAGTAATATAGTGTCCCTGGGTTTAATCCCCAATATTATAATCCCAATAACTTGAGAGGCTAAGGCACAAATCAATCATCACAAATTTTAACTCATCCCAATACAGCAAAAGAGGCGGGTGGCGAGGGTGGGGGCAGGGAAGGGTGGGGGACTTATGCAAAGGGTTGGGTATAGTTCAATTGGTAGAGTGCTTGCTTGCATGGCATGCAAGAGGCCCTGGGTCCAATCCCCAGCATTGGTAAGAAAAAAATAAATAAAACATTTGGATCTTGACTGAGGTAGCAGAAACATGAACCTACACAAGTGATAAAATTGAATAAATTTTAGAATAAAATGAATATGTTAATACATATACACACAGAATAATATGAATATGTTAATACATATACACACACAAAAATGAAATAAAGTAAAATCGGGGAAATCTGAGTAAAATTGGCATATTACATCAATGTCAATATCCAAGTTGTAATATTATAGTCTATGTCAAATGATACAGAGCAAAATTTCTTTTCTTTTGGTACAGGGGATTGAACTTGGGCACCAAAACACCGAATCACATCCCCAGCCCTATTTTGTATTTTTATTTAGAGACTTAGTGCCTTGCTTTTTGTTGAGGCTGGCTCTGAACCGGAGATCCTCCTGCCTCAGCCTCCCAGGCCACTGGGATTACAGGTATGTGCCACCGCGCCCTGCTTATAAGATTTCTTGTGGCTATCATCATTTCAGACATGTATGCCTCCTGGAGACTTACTGAACATTGTTTCCTCTGGATTTTCCTATACATCCTCAAAGCCTGAATATCTGTCATTTTCAATTACAAAATAACATTCATTTGTACTTACAGTCCATTCCCCAAATATTGGGCATTTTAATTACAGCCAACCATTAAACAGTTTGATAATTAGGGGTGCACTCTCTCACAGTCAAAACTCTGTAGAGAGGGCTAGAGTTGTAGCTCAGTGGTAGAGTGCTTGCCTCACATGCGTGAGGCACTGGTTTGAACTCCAGCACCACATATAAAATAAATAAATAAAATTATGCCCATCTACTATTAAAACAATATTTTTAAAAAATTGCAGAGAATTTTAGGTTCCCTGCAATGAGGGTAATTACAAAATTGTAACAATAATATAGTATTACTACAGTTAATTTTATGCAATTATGATTTTTAGTAGTTACAGATGGACAGAATGCTTTTGTTTATTTTTATGTGGTGCTAAGGATCAAACCCAGTGCCTTACTCACACATGCTAGGCAAGCGCTCTACAACTGAGCTACAGCCCCAGCCCCCTGCAGTTATAATTTAATGTCACATCTTTACATTTGTTTACATTTCTCTCAGCATATGGCACCATACATAGTCCATAAGAGTCTGTGTATGCTAAGTTTTGATACATTTTAACTTTTCATAATTGATTTGTACATATTTTATGGTACTAAATGACAAAATAAAATATTGTTTAAACAAATTTTAGGCATGCACAAGGAAGAGCAGGACTGGAAGAGTAGGAGTAGGGGCAAATGGGCTACCACTGAGTTCAATCTCCAGAAGAAGGGAAAAAGAAAAAGGAAATGAATACACATTATATCAGAAACTCTGAAAACTATCACTAAACAAGTGGCAACACTGAACAATGTACAATGAACAAAAGCAAAAGTACGGAATCTGCAAGTGTGAATAGCTCCTTAGAAAAGCAGTGACACATGCTTGTAATCCCAACAATTCAGAAGGCTTGGGCAGGAGGACCTCAAGCTCAAGGGCAGCTTCAGCAACTTAGTAAGACCCCATCTCAAAATAAAAAAGGGCTTGGGATGTAGCTCAATGGTAGGATGACTTTCAGTTCATCCTCCCATGCCAAAATAAAATTTGTGCATTCATGGCATACTGAACTTTCTGAAACTTCTAAGCTCTGCAATTGGCAAGTTTTTTAAAATTATCACAAATCTTAAAAAAAAAAAAAAAAAAAACATGTATGACTGGACCCATACAGTTCAAACCCATGTAGGTCAAAAGTCAAATATATTTCTATCAAGTCAGGGATGACAAAGTATCTTGGTGCATAAAGGGGTTTGTATATTAAAATTGTCTTCTAATTCCTCTTTGTTTTTTCATTTTGTTTTGTTTTACCTTTTGCAGTACTAGGGACTGAACCCAGGGGAGCTCTCTACCACTGAGAAACATTTCCAGCCTCTTTTCTTTTGAGATAGGATCTCGCTAAATTGCTTAAGGCCTTGCTAAATTGCTAAGGCTGGCCTCAAACTTGCAATTCTCCTGCGTTAGCCTCCCTAGTCATTGGGATTACAGGTGTGTGCCACCATGCCTGGCTGGATATTATTTTGAGGCAAAGTCTTGCTAAATTGCCCAGCCAGGCTATCCTCAAACTTGCAATCATCCTGCCTCAGCCTCCTGAGTAGCTGGGATTATAGATGTACACCACTGCCCAGATAAATAACTCTATGTTTGAAAGGTACTCGGAGAAAATCAAGCCACTAATTGTAAAATGGCCAGAGAAAGCACTTACCAAACCATGAATCTATGTTTTCGGAATCTTCCTCATCATCCAAAGATGTAAAATTAATGAAGTCCGTAGGAGCATCAAAAGAATAAGTTGTTGTAACTTGTGACATTGTCCACCCTTAATGCAGAAGAGCAGGTTTTTTTCAGTATTTGTATCACTTTTCTCAACAGGTCACCTTCTGAGGAAAGAAATGATTCAGAAATTTGGTTGCAACCAGAATCAGTGGCACACGCCTGTAATCCCAGCGGCTCAGGAGGCTGAGATAGGAGGATCACGAGTTCGAAGTCAGCCTCAGCAATGGCGAGGCACAAAGCAACTGTGACACCCTGCCTCTAAATAAAATACAAAATAGGGCTGGGGATGTGGCTCAGTGTTTGAGTGCCCCAGAGTTCAATCCCTGTTACCCCCCACCGCCAAAAAAAAAAAAGAAATTTGATTGCACATTAAACTAAGGCACTGATTCCCCAACAACTACTTTGGTTTTACTATTGAATTTTGCAATTCAGAAAATCATCTGGACAATATGCATTACTTTGTCAAATCAACCTAAAAATTAGTTGTTCTGGTTTTTGCTTTAGTAATTTGAACACACTCTTTTTTTTTTGGTTTTGTTTTTATTAAGGATTGAATCCAGGGGCACTCTGCCACTGAGCTATATTCCCTAACCCTTTTTATTTCTATTTTGGTTGCTGAGGTCTCACTAAGTTGCTGAGTCTGGCCTTGAACTTACAATCTTCCTGCCTCAGCCTCCCAAGTCACTAGGATTATAGTTGTATAGTTGCTGAGAGCCATAGCAGGGTCGGAATGGCATGGCATTTTTGCCAGAATGGAGTGGTTGAGAGGTGATGCCAGCGAGCCATTGAGATAATGATGGTTATGTTAAGCTGTGTATTCAATTGTATATTAGACCCCTGCTGTCCCCCACAGGCGCCGGCTACTTTGGAGTTCTCCTTTGGAGTTCTCACAGGATTCCTCGAGAGTTGAGTTGGTTGGGGAAGTGCCAGAGGAGGGATTTCCGGTTGGTGTGTGGTGTGTCACGGGAGAAGGCCACGTGGGTGGCATTCGCGGGAGTTCGGAAATAAAGTTTGTTCCTGCTTGAGTGGCTCGTGATTTGTGCCCAGCCAGACTGCGGCACCAGGTGTTTTATATATTTATTATTTTATTATTTTCCCTCAACCTTAACTTTTATATCTACCAAAAAAAAATCTTACCAAAGACCAATTCAAATCTCTGACATCTTTCCAAAATTCAAGCTTTGTTTTATATCTCTGATATAATACACACCACTCAATTTTTTTTAACACATTTATTTCTTTAGCTACTGGGGATTGAACCCAAGGGTTCTTTACTACTGAGCTATATTTTCATCCCTTTTAAATTTTGAGACAAGGTCTTGCTAAATTGCTAAGGGTCTGGCTAAATTGCTGAGGTTGGCCTCAAACTTGTGGTCCTCCTGCCTCAGCCTCCTGAGTCACTGGGATTACAGGTGTACACCACAATACCCTGCACATAACATTCAATTTTATATTAGTTAACCATGCAAATGTCTCTCCCAATAGACTGAAGTTCTTAAACACAGGAACAGATTTTATTTATTTATACCTCATCCATTTGTTAAGTAGCTTAACACAGTACTTTATACACAGTAAAAGCTAGATGCAGTTTCGCCAAATACAGGTTTTCTTTCCTTAAAAATACATTCAAAAAATGTTCAGGCATTGTGGTGCACACCTATAATCCCAGCAACTTGGGAGGCTGAGGCAGAAGGATTGCAAGTTCAAGGGTAGCATGGTCAACTTAGTGAGATCCTGTCTCAAAATAAAAAATAAAAAGGGCTGAGGGTGTAGCTCAGCAGAAGAGTAGCCCTAGATTCAACCTCCAGTACTGCCACCACACACACACACACACACACACAAACTTTCAAAAACAAGTAGGCCTCTCTAGTATTTTCTACATTTACATGCCAGTCATTATCACCCTGCCCACCTATTTCCAATAAATAAATGAGACGATATTTCAAATACTATGAAATATACTATCCTCAGATATTATCAGTGCCATCTGACCTACTGATACCTTTCCTTTTCTTGAGCACTTATTCTATTCAAAAGACCCTCAATGAAGAATTTCTCAGTGACTACAGTGGTTAAAACTGCCTTGCTACAAGAAGGACGTTTTCATGTTCTTGTGAACACGCTGGAAGACACGGGAAAATCTTGGATTCCCATGATCTTAATGCCTAATTGAGGTCACTGGGAACACTTCCCAGGCAGGAATGTAATGAACACAACTAAAGCTGGGGGAGGGAAGAAGCAGGAATGTAACAAGCAGCAATCCCACTTAGCCTTCTAAAATTCATGATTCCACCAAAGCATGCTGCTGAAAAACACCTGGAAAAATGTTCAAGTTTAACCCCTCACATCCTTTTATTCTCTCTTTTCTTTTAAAATTATGAAGCTATTCAGTTAGCTTCTTTAGAGGGCAGTTTCCATGTTTTTTCTTGATAGGTCTTGCCAAATACAGAAATTTATCTTATAAATACTTATGCATGTATAAGAAAGTTAATATAGCATTGTTCAAAAAGTTAAAAAAAAAAAAAGCCAAATCCCACCAATAGGAGATTGGTAGAATAAATTATGACACAACTATATTATGAAGTATTAAATAACTATAATATTAGGTAACTGCAGATGTGGCAATATGTATAGAATAGTTCTAAGAACAATTAAGTGAGAAATACAAGTGAAAAAGAGTGTGCCCTGAGGGCTGGGGTTGTAGCTCAGCCTGCCTCATACATGTGAGGCACTGGGTTTGATCCTCAGCATCACATAAAAATATTGTATCCATCTACAACTAAAAAAATATTTAAAAAGAGTGCGTCCCCATTGTTTTAAAGAGGAAAAAGGCAATCTATAATCATATAATACTTTTATATGTGGAAGAAGACAATGTTAATGGTAGTTGGGTCTGTGAAGGGAGCTGGGATATATGAATTTGGGAAAAAATTTCACTATATGAAAAGTTTCTTTGAATATGTTTCATTCATGTAGTCAAATATTCAATATGCTTATTCATGCTCTTTGAATATGTTTTGTTATCAAATAAATGCATCATTTTTAGGGCTGGGGATACAGCTCAATTGGGAGAGTGCTTTCCTCCCATGCACAAGGCCCTGGGTTCAATCCCCAGCACCACAATAAATAAACGTATCATTTTCAGTTTAAAAAAAAGTTAAGTAGTATTTGTTTACCCTTAAATCTACATTTGCAGTCCAGAAGGCATTGGACACTATTAGCAGTGTTTTACACTTATTAACTAACTAAATCCTCACAAAAATTCTACAAAGTAGGTACTATTATTATCTTCCATTTTGAACATTACCACAAAAGGTAAGGAAATTGAGACCCAGAGATTTACTACTTATTCAGTCACAGAACTAAGAAGTAGCAGAGCCAAGGTTTGAACCCCGATAGGCATTAAGGTTCTATTCTTATCCACTGCCTCACAAATTTATTTAAAAATAGATATTTAAGCTGGGTGCGGTGCTGCACACCTGTAATCCCAGCCAACATGGGAGGCTGATGCAAAAGGATTACAAATTCAAGGCCAGCCTCAGCAATTAGCAATGCCCTCAGCAATTTAATGAAGCCTATCTCAAAAAAAAAAAAGATACTGGGGTTCAATCTCTAGTACCAAAAAAAAAAAAAAGATGAGTTCTAAAAAAATTCTAAAATCTGGAGTCTCTTTCATGCACAGGGTTTTCCTATAATCATCCCTTCAGAAGAAGATAACCAAATCACACTAAAGCATTAGAGAAAAACAAGGGCTAGGGATGTAGCTCAGTGGTAGAGCCCCTGCCTAGCATGCATAAGGCCCTGGGTTTGATATTTAGTGCTGCAAAAAACCAACAAACAAGCTGGGCATGGTGATACACTGAGGCAAGATGATGGCAAAGTTCAGAGCCAGCCTCAGCAACGTAGTGAAACCCTCTCTCAAAATAAAAAGGTCTAGAAACATGGCTCAGTGGTTAAGCACCTTTGGGTTCAATCTCTGGTACCAAAAAAAACAAAAACAAAGGCAAATAAATTCTGCTACATAAAAAAACTACACATCCCCAACAAATTATTCATAAGGAAAACTTTGGTAAACTACAAATTCTTTTCTAAATATACTAGGAAAGCTCTGAGTTGAAATCTTCCCACAGACAAAACATTATCCTTTAATTTCTCTTTATTCTAAGTGTATGCTTTTGCATAAAGTTTTTGCTCTATATAAGATGTAAGTTAGCCAGGTACAGTGGTGTTCACCTATAATTCCAGCTACTCAGGAAACTGAGGCAGGAGGATCAGCTAGGCAACTTAGCAAGGTCCTAGCTCAAAATAAAAAATAAAAAGAAATAAAGGTATAACTCAGAGGCATAAAGCTTGCTCTTTCTTTTTTTTTTAATTTTTTAATGTTTATTTTTTAGTTTTCGGTGGACACAACATCTTTGTTTGTATGTGGTGCTGAGGATCGAACCCGGGCCGCACGCATGCCAGGCGAGCGCACTACCACTTGAGCCACATCCCCAGTCCCATAAAGCTTGCTCTTGAGTTTGATCTCCAGTATGGCACAGAGGTGAGAACCTCTGAGTAGACATTGTAGAGTAAAAGGGACTATGGAGCTGGGCACAATGGCACACGCCTGTAATCCCAGTGGCGCAGGAGGATCGAAAATTCGAAGCCAGCCTCAGCGAAAGTGAGCCACTAAACAACTCAGTAAGACCCTGTCTCTAGGGCTGGGGATGTGGCTCAAGTGGTAGCGCGCTCGCCTGGCATGCGTGCGGCCCGGGTTCGATCCTCAGCACCACATACAAACAAAGATGTTGTGTCCACCGAAAACTAAAAAATAAATATAAAAAGTTCTCTCTTTAAAAAAAACAAAGACCCTGTCTCTAAATAAAATACAAAACAGGGCTGGGGATGTGGATGTGGTTCAGAGGTGAGTGCCCCTGAGTTCAATCCCTAATACCAAAAAAGAGAGGGAAACCATTTAAGCAGGTTTTTCAAGCATCACAAAGGTTCTCCTCTGAGGTCTAGGACTGCACTTTATTAGTGGGGGATAAAGGGCGAGAAGTACAAACCCAAGTATACTTAATCTTCAGTTAGGTGAAATTTTAAAACCAAAATATTATTTTCTTAACATGACCTCTTCTTTAAAAAGCTGCTTTTAGGGCTAGAGTTGTGGCTCAGCAGTAGAGCGCTCACTAGCACATGTGAGGCCCTGGGTTCGACCCTCAGCACCACATAAAAACAAATAAACAAAATAAAGGTATTGTGTACAACTAAAAAAATAAATATATAAAAAAAAAAGTATTAAAAAAAAAAAAAAGCTGCTTTTAGCTGGGTGCAATTGCACACACATGTAAGTGACCAGGAATACTGAGGCGGAAGATTCCAAGTTCAAGGCCAGCGTCAGCAACTCATCAAGACCCTGCCTCAAAATAAAATAAAATCAAAAGGATTGGGGATATATAGCTCAGCAGTAAAGGGCCCCTGGCTTCAATCCCCAGTACTAAAAAAACAAAAACAAAAAAAACAACAACACTTTGTTTAAACTATCTTTTGGTTTTGTGTAACCAATGAGTAAGACAATCCCTACTCCCTGAAAAATAGGAATAAACAAACATGAATTAAGAACCCTGATTCTCTTCAGTGACAACAAACAGCACAAATACATAAAGAAAACCAGCAGTAACTGCTGGGTCATGCCAGTTTCACCACACTACCTCTCCCATAAATAGTAAATATTAGAAGGTTAAAAACTTCAAATATTAAAGTCCTTAAGATCTAGCAGAAAATGGAACTAGCTGGAGCTAAAGACAACCATTTAAATGAGCCAAAAGCATGGTGGGAACTGGATGCCTTCCTGCACCCCTTAATCAAGATTGAATTTCTGTCAACAGGTCCCACTGAAAAAAAAAAAAGAGAGACATGCGTCAACCACATTCCCCCAAACAAGCCAAGCTGCCAAGCAAGAGAAGAGAATTAGCTTCATATTTCAAAATTATCTGAATCTGCCACAGCTAAGACTCCTGCAAAACTAGAAATATTCTGAGTGGAGAAATAGTTATTAATGATGAATAATCCTGCAATTCACCTGAGGAAAAAAGCCCTATCCCACATGTTATGATCTAGTTAAGTTGTTTTAAAAACTGCCTACTAAATGCCAATCCACCATATCATACAGCTCACTTTTTCTTTCCAAAAAACAGACTTTAAGGAACTCACAGCCAAATGAGAAATAAAGACAAACAGGATACAGGATTATCCTTGTAATAACAGGGCAAAAATAGAGCACACTCAGGGAGTACAGAGAACAAGGTGAAGGAGGGTCAGTGAAGGCTTCCTGATGGAAGTGATACCTAAAGGACAAAGAGACCTGCAGAGTTCTACAGATTAAAAATGAATGTTGAGCCAAGCAAGGTAGTACACAGCTATAAACAAGGCTGAGGCAGGAGGATCTCAAGTTAATGGCCAAGGTAATCCCAGCTATAAAGAAGGCTAAGGCAAAAGGATCTCAAGTTCATGACCAACTCATGCAACTTAACAAGACCCTGCCTCAAAATTTAAAAATTTTTAAAAAGGTGAGTAGGTTGAGGAGGTAGCTCAGTGAAACAATACTCCTGGATTCAATCCCCAGTGCTGTGAAAATAAATAAATAAATGTTTGACTTTTTCTGGGAGAAGAAATGGAAAGGAAAAACAAATAGGGACAAATACGCGTGAGGAAGACTGCAGAAGAAGCAATTGTAACCTATTTCCATATTCATCTGAAATTAACCTCCCATTGCCTCCTGCCTCTCTTCACTCTCAAACCAAAAATAACTAGACTTGACAAGCTCTATAAATCAAAAAGTGCAGGACCAGGGGGTGGGGGAAAGCTGCAGAGGGTACATTCTAAGCAGGGCTGAAATAGTGGACTAGCAGCTCCTAGCAAAACAAAGACTTTTGGTATGACAGATGCTCCCAAACTATCCAGTTTGTGAGATGTGTCTCGCCTATTTCTATTAGAGGGAAAAGCATGAGGTAAGCAATTGGTAATGTAACAGAATAAACACAGTTAAGCCAAGACTTCGTTAGAAGTATAGTTAGTTAAGATAGTCCCATCCAGGCAGTGCCATTTCCCCAGGAACACCCTCTCCTACTTTCACAAGGGATAAGAGATCCTGTTACATTACTGCAAGCAAAAGAGAGCTGAGTTACATTCATTTTAACAAGAGAAAACACCTATATTTTTTTCCTTTACATAAAGAATTAACAAGAGTCAGTAAATTACAAGATAATCCAGCGTGCAATTTTAACTGCTATTCAAAGTCACAAACTAAGTCTGAAGAAAGTTTAATGGACTCTGTGTTTCCACATTTATGTTTGCTAACTTCTATGTTGAAATCGGATCTGTTTACAGAAACAGATCTATGAAGCTTCCAAAATTGGGTCAATTTAAAATCCAATGACAATCCCTCACTGTCCAAACACTCAGAAGTCAGAACAGGACACATGGACACTTGTTCTAATTCATCACTGTCCAAAAACCTAAAGCAAATATATTTTTATATCATTTCTCTTTCAAAATTGTGAAATTCATATTATCCATTTTAAAGATTAGAAACTCAGTACTGCATTAATTTATGCATAGAACTCAACAAATCTCAAACCACTCCTGAGCTGTAGGACCTATACAAAAATCAATGATGCTGTTTCATTTAGGTCAAATAATGACACTGATCTTTGCAGATACCAAAGGAAATCTTTGTAGCATTCCAAAGTATTGTAATAATTCAACAGTAAGAAGTTTCAAAAGTTTACAAGGGTTGACTGAGGGAGGCTGTAGGATGTTACAAGCATCAACAAATGTCAATATTATACTTAGCCTTGTAGAGATTTATATACTTCAAATGATATCTGGTTTAGGAAATACCCACAAGCAAAAAAAAAAAAAAAAATCCAAGAATCTAACAAACATGTTTAACCTGGAGTAGCAGGGAGAAGTAAACTGATAGGACTAGATTTTTTTTTCCCCCTATTATAGTACTGGGGATTGAGCACAGGGGTACTTTACCACTGAGATATACCCCTAGCCCTTGCATTTATTTTTTGAGTTAGGATCTCAACTCAATTGCTAAGGCTGACCTCAAACTTACTATCCTCCTGCCTCAGCTTCCTGAGTAGCTGGGATTACAGGCCTGTGCTATCACATAAATATAATTTCAATGTATTTTCAATTATATACATATATATATAATATAGTTTCAATTATAGTTTGCAATTATAATTTTTATATTGTTTTGCTTTTTGTGCCATGCAAATGTCTTACCTATTTTAAAAATATATATGTATGCCTATATTAATATATACTGTTTTAGTAGATATGTAAATGAACATAATCTCATAAGGCAACTTGGTGTTATCATGAGTATAACTTGATTATACATTTGGTATAGCAAAAGTCTTAAAAATAGCATTCTTAGTTGGGTGTTGTAGTACGCGCCTATAATCCCAGAGGCTCAGGAGGCTTAGGCAGAAGGATCACAAGTTCACCTCAGTAAAAGCAAAGTGCTAAGCAACTCATGAGACCCTGTCTCTAAATAAAATTTAAAAATAGCATTCTTAGTGCTTGCCTAGCAATGGGCAAAACTCTGGGCTCAATCCCTAGTACTGAAAATAAAACAAAACCCAGCATTCTTATGTTGAATTTTGTTTTGGCATTTCTTTTTGGTACCAGGGATTAAACTCAGGGGCACGAACAGTGAGTCATTTCCCCAGTCCTATTTTGTATTTTATTTAGAGACAGGGTCTCACAGAGTTGCTTTGCAACTCACCATTGCTGAGGCTGGCTTTGAATTGGCGATCTTCCTGCCTTAGCCTCCTGAGCCACTGGGATCATAGGCGTGTGCCACTGAGCCAGGCTTGTTTTGGCTTTTTTGTTTGTTTGTTTTTTTAGTTGTAATTGGACACAATAGCTTTATTTTATTATTTTTATGTGGTGCTGAGGATTGAACCCAGTGCCTCGCACTAGCTAGGCGAGTGCTCTACCGCTGAGCCCCAGCTCCAGCCACTTGTTTTGGCGTCTCTGAAAATTAAAAATAATTTGACCAGCAATTTCAGTGGGTAAATTACTATAGTAGAATCATATAATGGAATACCATATAACCATTAAAATTAGATTACAGAAAAATTTAGCATGGGTAAATAAAAATTCATGACCTAATTACTATGTAAATAAAAAGCAACAAAGGTTTTTAGTTTTTTTATTATTTTCTAATTTTTAAAACAAAATATAGGCACAGGGAAAAAAATGAAATCTATCAAAATGATAGCTTTATTTTATCTAAGACGTAGGAAAATGGGTGATTTTTCTTTGTTTTTACATATGACATAAGTTTCCTTTCAAAATGTTACCTTGTAAAGGCACCTATTTAAACATTATATATTAATGTTTCCCTTCTTTTTTAATGTTAACTCACTGTAAACACGACCTTACCTGTGGTTTAATGGGTCTGTCAATCCACTTGCATACAGGTTTAACTCAAAAGTTGCAATATACTCTTTCCTGAAATCTTGAAGTCAGGAAGATATTTCTTGTTAAAAACCTGGAAGTAGTAGAAAGGTGATGAAAAAGACTCAAATTCTTTGTAGTAAAAAAGGTTAATGAACAATAGTAGGGGTCCATAAATAAAAGAACATGAATCATAACCAAAGGATGAGCCAGGTGCAATAACTTAACACACAGTAATCCCAGTGACTCTGGAGGCTGAGACAAGTGGGATCACAAGTTCAAGGCCAGACTCAGCAAGTTAAAGAGGCCCTAAGCAACTGAATGAGGCCCTGTCTCAAAAATAAAAAATAAATAAATAAAAAGGGCTAGGGAATGTAGCTCAATGTGAGTGCCCCTCAGTTAAATACCCAGTACCCTGCCCCCCACCAGAAAAGGTTGCTTCTGATCATGGACCTCCTAACATGCCAAACTGCTTAACAGATTGTTGTTGCATCACTGTAAAAGTATCCTTAGACTTCTTAGTGTATATTTGCTGTCTTCTGGTGTCTTTGTATTCCATAGTCTCACATTAAAGCAATATTTCCAAAGCCTGCCATTTAGGAACACTAACACCTAAAGGTGGTAGTGTGTGTACTTCTATTCAAACATCAGGCTCACTTAAAATATAAACAAACTTTTACTACCTTTCCTATTTATAATTTTATACCTTTTTCATTAATCTTTTAATTTCTTTCTACTTTACCAAGTTTTCCTTGACAAACAATATCAGAATCCCTTCCCAGTTATCTATCCCTTTTTTCACAAAATATTTAGGGCTGCTCATCTGTATGTCTCTGTATTAAATACAGATTTCTCCACAGAACTGCTTGGGCTGTTCAATTGCCCTATGGTCAATTCTGTTTCCTAACTTCAGCCATGGCAAAGAAAATGAAGTTTTTCAAAGGACATTTAAATTCCATTCCTTTCTTCTTCCCCAGCATGTCAAAAAAAGAGGGGGTGGGTAGGAAGGGAGATAGGGAGTAGAGAAGCCCAGAAAAAGTTGAAGGAAAAAATACATAGGCAACATAGAACTCTGAAATTCTTTCAGTATCTAAATGAAGAACTTTCCTGATAATACTTTCTCCTGGACAAGTTTAACTGTAACTGCAGGATAAATTACTTTTATGAAGGTTGGATTGTACACATTTAAGGATAATCGTGATCAAAATAATCCCATTTTATGTGATTAATTTGAAGGTTTAAACAAAACAACAACCCTATTTGAATACAATTCAGTTTTTCATATCTGTAATTTTGTAGTGATTTAGGCAGATCTTTCCTTTGTATTCAACAGATATTTAGTGGGTTATTCCTATGCACCAGTACTGCTCCAGTCCCTCAGTACTGCTCTAGTCCCTGTCTAATCAAACTCCCTCTCAATGAGCCAATCTGCATCCCAGCTACTTCACAAAGCCACCCTTACCTGTTTTAAGCCTCACTGATCTCCCTCACCTCTAAACTGCCAGAACACTTATAATAACAAACAGTAGAGCACTCAGATGCTGTCTTGTCTTGTTGTCACTTGGCAATATGAATTAAATCTATTTGTCTCCGAGCATACCAGAAAGCTCTTGAATACACCAATCTAAGCACATAGTACACCCTCAATTAATTGGCTAAGTAGTAGCAGGGAGCCAAAAATAATTTGAACCAAAAATGACAACTTAGGGATGGAGTTGCGGCTCAGTCATAGAGCTCTTGCCTTGTGTATGTGAGGCACTGGGTTCAATCCTCAACAACACATAAAAATAAATAGATAAAAAAAAAGGTATTGTGTCCATCTACAAATGGGGGGAAAAAAAAAAGAATGACAATACTGAGACACCCAAACCAACCAAAGGTACTCAAATTTAATTTGGGGGTGGCATGACATGTTGTGTAATACACTGAGGCCAATACACACAAGAATATTCTTATTGCAGCAGCAAATGTACCCCCCCCCCAAAAAAAGCACTTCTATTTATTTTTAACATCTGATGAGTGAGAAAAATTCAATTCAAAGGCCATGGGATGTCAAAACAAGCTAAGCCTGAACCAGGAAGTACACCAATAGATGAACTTAAAAATCCTCTTCTAAGCAGGAATGGTTTGGGGAGTCTCTGCTACTAAACTACTTAGAAATTTTCACATCAGAAAAAGAAACCATATATCAAGAAACAGAGGTTAAGGTAGGAGGATCGCTAATTCAAGGCTAACCTCGGTAACACAAAGACCCTGCCTCAAAATAAAAAAATTAAAAAATAAAAAAGGTTTGGGGGTATAAGCTCGAAAAAAAGCACCCCTGGGCTGAATCCCAGTACAAAGGAACGAGAGAGAAAGAAACAGAAAATAAAGGTTACGTCAATTCTTCAATATTATAACCTGGTTCCGGTTCCCTTTCCCCCTATACATTTATAAATGTTCTAACAAAGGAAATTAGAAAGGCAAAACTAGTAACTCGATACCAAGGAGGAGGGATAAGCAAATATGGATAACTTTAAGTTCCCAACAAGACGAATTCAAGTGACATTACACTCTCCCTCGATTATGTTTGCACACCCTTTTATCTTACACAATCTTTTTTTTTTTTTTTTTTTTTTTTTTAGTTGCAGTTGGACACAACACCTTTATTCATTTTTATGTAGTGCCGAGGATCGAACCCAGGTCCTAGAACGTCCTAGGCGAGCGCTCAGCCGCAGAGCCAGAGCCCGAGCCCGAGCCCGAGCCCGAGCCCGAGCCCGAGCCCCAGCCCCAGCCCCAGCCCCACCCCAATCGTCTTGAAATGTAGTGGCGTGCGACCACCTTTGTTTTCCTTCACCAAACACCTCATTTCTTGAGGGCGGAGCCGCTATTTCACCCGCTTCCCGAAACTTATACAGATCGTAGGCCTCGGTTTCCGTCTCTGTAAAGTGAAAAATAGCACCTAACTCACTGGTGCAAAAGTCAAGTGAAAAATCGCACGCGGATGGCTCGGTCCGCAAAACGCTTCCCACCGTTGCCGCCGCAAGAACAATAACAGTGGTCGTTAACTTTGTGGTTGGCCGACAGCCTCCCGCAAATTCTTCTCCACCCGGTTTCCCCGGTTTTCACCGCCTTCACCACAAAACCCTGTCACCAAAAGAAGGATGGCCCGAAGCCCCCGCCTAGGCGGCGCCCCAACCCCGCAACCGCCTCAGAGGCCGGCCCAGAGACGCGCACAGGGCTAAGGGGGGGGGGGGGCGACCTCTCAGACGTTCGAAAGTCGGGGAGAAGGGAAGCCCCCGCGCCCCAGCCGCTCGCAGTTCCCTTCCCACCGCTCACCTCGCTTCGCCTCCCCACGGTTCTGACAATCAAGCGCCGCCAGCCCGCCGCGGGGATCATTCAGTACCGTTGAAAATTTGAACCCAGGCAGCCTGGTCGAATGCACCAATCAGAGCTCCAAGAACGAGCCATCCCAGTCTCTCGATTGGCCCTTGAGAACGCAGCGACGCCGGAAGTCAGGAGGAGGGATGAGCAAACAACCGGCCCGAGAGGCTTCTGGGAAATATAGTCTCCAGCGCCCTTGTGAGCCCATAGGAACAACTCCTCTACTACAAAACCCGGAATGCTCTGCTCTAGCTACTTAGGAAAGGTGGTACCAACTAAGAAGTAGGGAGTCTGTTAAGATCACAGAAGGACACTCATTCTGGACTTCCCCAACGTATTCAAGAAGAAAATATTTTCCAATTTTATTTTTTAAAATTATTCGCTGTATTTGTGCGTTGTTTTGAATATTTATGGGAATTCACTTCATTTCATTAGGCAGTTTCCTAAATGCAACATAAAATTTTCCCCAGCTTCCCTCCTCATCATGAAAGCATTTCTCAGCCTGTTTCTCCATTCCTACCCCTGATCTTAACTGGCTGAAAGTCGTGGTTTATTTGGTGATTCGTCTTCATTATCCAAATGCATCCTTGGCTTTGTTATTCCCGTGTTGTAAAGGAACAAACACAGGCCAAGAAATGTTGGGTAAATCTATCTAAAACCGCCATAAATGGAGATGGGATTTGAGTGGAGAATGTCTGTTCTTTTTATACATCATCAATTACAAAATAATGAGAACAACAAAAAGACCTATTTATAATAGCAACAAAAGCTACAATTTACCAAATTAACCTGAATTAAAACTATAAAACATGGTTGAATAGCCATTAAAAATTAAATGAAGGGGCTGGGTTTGTAGCTCAGTGGTAGAGCGCTCGTCTAGCACGTTGGAGGCCCTGGGTTCGATCTTCAGCACCACATAACAACAAATAAATAAAATAAAGATGTTGTGTCCAGTTATAACTAAAAAATAAATATTTAAAAAATTATAAAAATTAAATGAAGTTACATAATGGATGGAGAGATACTATTTTAAAGATGTTAAATCTCCAAATTAAAATTTCAAGGCAATTCTAATATAAATCCCAAGAAGTTTTGGCATGGAACTTTTTTGGGGAGGGGGGGTTGGGGGGGTACTGCGTTTTGAACTCAGTGGCACACGACCACTGAACCACATCTCCAGCCCTATTTTGTAGTATTTTATTTACAGACAGGGTCTCACTGAGTTGCTTAGCGCCTCGCTGTTGCTGAGGCTAGCTTTGAACTCACCATCCTCCTACTTCAGCCTCCTGAGCCGCTAGAATTATAGGCGTGTCCACCAGGCCCAGCTGGAACTTCTTAATGATTATAAAGTAAATTTATATAGAGGAGGAAATGCACAAGAAGTGACATCTGAGCAGGGTATGTGAGCACACACCTGTAATCCCAGCAACTCCTGAGGCTTAGACATGAGGATGGCAAATTCAAGGCCAGCCTCAACAATTTAGCAAGACCCAATTTCAAAATTTAAAAATAACAATTATAAAAAGGTCTGGAGGTGCAGCTTAGTGGTAAAGCACCCCTGGGTTCAACCCCCAAATAAATAAAGTGGCATTTGAGTGTTGAAAAATGATAGGGGTACTAAATTAAATATGGCCTGAGGATGGCTCAGCACTGAAGTCTTTACATATGGAACTAGGACCTAGATAGTAGGTAAAGGAACTTAGGAGTACACTGTACTCTTAGAACAAACAGCTGTCTCAGTCAATGACAGCAGCAGAGCTTCAATAATTTGCAGGCATCCAACTGACTCAAATAAAGCAAAATATGACCTATAATCAATTAAACTATCTCTGTACCTCACTTTTTTGTTTTCAGTCCATAAATGCTTCCTGATCATGTTGCATGCTGGAGTTTTAAAACCTGTTCTGGTTCTGACAGCTACCCTTTCAAGAATCGCTTCCAGGGCATTACCACAAGCCCGTAATCCCAGCAGCTCAGGAGATTGAGGCAGAAGGATCGAGAGTTCAAAGGCACACTCAGCAGTTTAACAAGACCCTGTCTCTAAATAAAAAAATAGAAAGGGATGGGAATGTAACTCAGTGGTTAAGTGCCACTTGGTTCAATCCCAAATAACCCAAAAGAAAGAATGGTTCTTTGCTAAACTAAACTATTAAATTTGTGTAGGACTTTTCCTTTTAACAGGGGGAATTTTTTAAAATTTTTATTATTTGTATATTTATTTACAGCGCTAGAGATGGAACCCAGGGTCTTGCACATGCTAGGCAAGCACTTTATCACTGAACAACATTCTTAATCCTGACAAAGAGAGTTGACATACCAGATTTCACCATATTAATATATAAAAGTAGGGGCTGGGGTTGTGGCTCAGTGGTGGAGCACTCGCCTAGCATGTGCAGGGCCCTGGGTTCAATACTCAGCATGACATAAAGATGAATAAATAAAATAAAGGTTAAAAAAAAATATATATATACACATACATACACATAGTCATTTTTATATGGTTTGTTTCATTCGGACCATGGAGGTGCAATCAACAAAAATTAGACAGGAAAATTCAACAGGAAAAAATATCTGAATTGGAGCTGGGGTTGTGGGGTTGTGGTAGAGTGCCTGCCTAGCATGCAGGAGGCACTGGGTTCAATCCTCCTAAATGTAAAGATATTGTGTCCACCTAAAACTTAAGAATAAATATTTAAAAATAAAAATTAAAAAAATAATAAATAAAAATATAGAATTGCTCTTAGTTTTTTGCTTTTTATGGCACTGTGGATCAAACCCAAGTGCTCACATATGCTAAGCAGATGCTCTACCACTAAGCAATAGCCCCAGCACTCGGGTTTGCTTAAGTGTCCTTGTGTTGTAGACATACTATACAGAGCTGGAGATGTAATTCAGTGGTAGAGTTCTTGCCTATCATGTGTGAAGTCCTGAGTTTAATCCCTAGCACATAATATATAGAAATGGTAGAGGTGAAATGTTTCTAGAATTTGCTTCAGATAATTGGTAGAATGCAGTAGAAGGAAGTAGATGGGAGTTTAGATGAAAGAAGATGAGCCACAGTTGATAATTGCTGAAGCTGAGAGATAGGTTCATGATACAAAAGTATATTCATATACCCATGTATGTGTTTGAAATTTTCTTTTTTTAAATATTTTTTAGTTATAGTTGACACAATACCTTTATTTTACTTATTTATTTTATATGTGGTGCTAAGGATCGAACCCAGGGCCTCACACATGCTAGGTGAGCACTCTACCGCTGAGCCAAAACCCCAGCCTCTTGAAATTTTCTACAATTAAAAAAATTTTTAAACCATTGTATTGCTATAGAAATTAAAGGGAAAAAAATCAGTAGAAGAGTTTAAGTGTCCAGAAATAGCCAGGGCCAGTGGCACACACTTGTAAGCCCGGCTACTCAGGAGGCTGAGGCAAGAGGATGGCCAGTTCAAGACCAACCTGGAAAACTTAGCTAAAATCAGTCTCAAAATAAAATTTTAAATTGTGTTGGGGATATGGCTTTGAAATAGAAAAATTGTCTAGCATGTAAAGGCTCTGGGTTCAGTCCCCATTACTGAAAAAATAAAAATCAAATGTATATGCCCTATGACCTAGGATTTCCAGGAGAGACTCATCCACACCCACACACAGGCACAGTTGCTGCAGCATTTACTGGGTGCCTACCAAGTGCCAGTCATTGTGCTAAAATCAGGGATCTGCAATGAAAAGAGACAAAATCCTGCTGGGCGTGGTGGTGCATGCCTATGATCCCAGTTGCTTGGGAGGCTGAGGCAGGAGGATCATGAGTTCAAAGCCAGCCTCAGCAAAATCAAGGTGCTAAGCAAATCAGTGAGACCCTGTCTCTAAATAAAATACAAAATAGGGCTGGGGATGTGGCTCAGTGGTCAAGTGCCCCTGAGTTCAATTCCCGGTACCAAAAAAGAGAGAGAGAGAGAGAGAGAGAAAATCCTATCTTCATGGAGCTGATATCCTAGTGGAGAAGAAAAATATTAAACAAGGTAAATAAGTAAATAATGCTAGGTGCAGTGGTGCACCCTTGCAATCCCAGCAACTCAAGAAGCTGAGGCAGGAGAATCCCAAGTTCAAGGCCAGCCCCAGCAATTTAGTGAGACCTTGTCTCAAAATAAATAAATAAATAAATAAAAGTAAAAAGGACTGAGGAATGTAGCTCAATGGTAGAACACCCCTGGGTTCAATCCCTGGTGTCTCAAAGATACCTCCCTGTCAGCCCAAATCCCTGGAACTCTTTAACTGCTGCTTAGTATTCCATTCTATGGCAGTCTTATGAAATATTCTCCTATTTATGAAAGTTTAGGGGATTTAGAGTTTTTCACAACAACTCCACAACACAACAAACTATTTTAATGGACTTCTCTTTTTTTAACATTTTTTTTAGTTGTAGATGGACATGATATCTTTGTTTTATTTATTTTTTTATGTGGCACTGAGGATTGAATCCAGTGCCTCACACACGTGAGGCAAGCACTCAACCACTGAACTACAACCCCAGCCCCTTATTTCTACTCTTGTCCCCTCCCTCAGTCATGGTTGAAATTGCAACCGACTGGACCAGATGAG